ATTACTATTGGCTATTTCAATTTGCAATAGCCAATAGTAATGTCCCAATGCTTTTCAATGGGAAAAAAATCTGTTTTTTTTTTTCTCTATTCTGACATCGATCATGTTAGAATAAAGAAAAAAGGACACAGCCGTGTTTCTCTCCTTGGCGGCCGGGAGCAGGAGACTCCCGGGGCGCGAGGGAGAGTTTGCTGTTTGGAGATCAGTGTCCCTGGTTAGCAGGTAACCAGGGACGCTGATCTCGCTGCAAGTGGCCGGAGCCAGCCGTAAGATCACGGCTGGCTCCGCCCAGCTGTCAGAAGCAGGCCGAGTGGCCAATGGCCGGCCGCTCAGCCAGCTTCGGCTTTCAGCACGGCTCAGCCGAGCCGATGCATATGCGTTCGGCTCAGCCGAGCCGCTCGGCCATGATCGGGAGCTGTACGGGCTATTGTGAATAGCCCGTACAGCACTCCTTTGGTTCTACTGAACCGAAGGGGTCCTGGAGCCGAAGCTAGCCGAAGGATTGTCCGAAGCTACGGCCAGATCCTTCGGCAGCTTCGTGAATAGACCCCAGTATGTCAAATGAGCGTTGTTAACCCACGACATGATCACCATGTCAAAAAGGAAAAAAAAAGCAGCCACCACTTCTAAGGACTGGTAAACTGCAAAATATAAGATTCTTGTTCTTGGCTTTATATACCGTTTAGTAAAAGTTGAATTTAAAATGTTTGTAACGTCAAAACTTTTTAAAATGTTTTTAATTAGGAAAGGGTTATCAGCATTTCTGTCAGGTTTTTATTGCTATCCCTTATTGGGAGATTCACCCTCACTTTCGTTCCTTGTGACCATCATCTCTGGTCCAGCAAGTGGTGGCAAGGCCAACATTTGGTTGTCAAAATCTTGCAGTGGGGACACCTGTTCCACTGACACCTGTCTAAGAGAGGACATTGCCTCTATTTTGAAAAGGCTCCTCTTCCTGCTATGTTTCTGTGAGAGGAAGTCAAGGAAAAGCTCCCTGATGGACACAGGCAAGAAAAGAACACATGATCGGGGTCATAACTAGGGATACACCGATACCAAGTATTTGGGTAAGTACTTGTACTCGCCCAAATGCTCTGATACTTACCTTGATACTGGAACTTCCGGTCAAAGGGAGATTCCAATCAGGAAACCGGGAGGCACGTCATGACCCACCTGCTTGCTTCCTGATTGGCTAGGAAGCCGGCTTCACTTGTTGCTAGCAGCCTGGGTTCCTGACCAATTCCTGATTGGTCAGGAAGCCAGGCTGCCTTGGTACGTGAAGCCAGTGTTCTTTTGGATAGAATATCAGTATTTTGTATCGACGAGCATCGAAGAAAAAAAATATATCGTTACTTGATGCCAAAAAAAGGTATTGGTGCATGCCTAGTCATAACCCTTAACTACTCTATGAGGGGGAAAAAAAGGGGGGTTTCCTTTACATTCACTAATAGTCTGTATTTAGCACTCAAGGGGCTTAAAGTTACCTGTGATGTTACTGGTAATATTGTTTTATATCTTTGGAAAGGTAATCATCAGATAACCTGCACCTAAGGACTTTTTGTCTGATTTATTAAAAGTGGTTTACTTAATTTGGTCATACATGGTCATACATGAAATAGACAGTCATGAAGATTACATTGCACAAATTGCTCAAAAGTTTGTAGCTGCCATTCAGAACTAAAGATGTGAAAGGGGGAATGTGGACAAGGAAAGTCCTGTCATGATCTTCCTTCAGATTCATTATGCACTGTTTTGATATAAAACGTAGTTATATGTAATACGTGTATTCATAGTTACATAGTATTTGAGGTTGAATAAAGACATAAGTCCATCAAGTCCAACCTATTGTTGATGTGTGCGTATGTGTGTATACATATATGCACATACACACATATATACATACACATACATATATACATACACACATAGGTCCTTGTATCAGTTAATTCTTAATTGTACCTGTACCCCTGTATGTTATGGTTTCTCAGGAAATCGTCTAAAAGCTTCTTGAATGATTCCATATTCTTAGCTGAGATCACCGCCTCTGGCAGCGAGTTCCAGACCCTAACCGCTCTTACTGTGAAGAACCCCCTTTGCCCCTTGTGCTTGAATTTCTTTTCCACCAATTTTAGGTGGTGGCCTCTAGTCTTTGTTACAGAGTTAATTGTAAAGAGTTTGTTGCTAATGTTACTGTCACCATTAAACAATTTGTACATGAAAATCATGACCCCCCTTAATCTCCTTACTTCTAACGTGAACATGTTTAAATTTGGTAGTCTTGTCTCATAACTCTGGTCCTCCATTCCCCTAATTAGTTTGGTTGCCCTCCGCTGGACTCTTTCAAGCTCAAGGACGTCCTTTCTGTGAACTGGTGACCAAAACTGGACCGCATACTCCAGATGAGGCCGAACCAGTGATCTATAAAGTGGCACAATTATAGACTTGTCCCTGCGATACATCCCCTTCTTAATACAAGACAGGACTCTGCTTGCTTTGTTTACAGCAGCCTGCAAGCTATTAATCAATCTGTGGTCTACAATAACCCCCAAATCGTTTTTTATTTCTGACTTCCCTAATGGCATACCCATAATTGTATAGTCCATTTGCTTATTTTTTATTCCCAAAGTGCATTACTTTGCATTTATCGACATTGAACTTCATCTGCCATATATTAGCCCACTCCCCTATTTTATCCAGGTCCTCCTGTAATGTTAAACTGTCTAGGTCCGTTTCTATTACCCTCCCGATTTTGGTATCATCAGCAAACACTGAAACATTGCTACTCACACCCTCCCCGATGTCGTTAATAAATAGGGTGAACAGCCTGGGGCCCAGCACAGAACTCATGACACTAGCCCATTCTGGAAAGCTGCCATTTATAGATACTCTTTGTACCCGTTCCTGTAGCCAGTTCTCTATCCATGTACACAGCATCCCATCTATGCCCATGCATCTCAGCTCGTATAACAAGCGTTTGTGTGGCACCGTATCAAAAGCCTGTGAGAAATCCAGATATACCACATACACCGGTCTCCCTCCATCCAGATTTCTACTTACCCCCTCGTAAAAAGTTAGTAGGTTAGTCTGGAAGCAACGGTCCTTCCTGAACCCATGCTGATTGTCATTGACTATACCATTATTCTGAACATATTCTACCAAATAGTCCTTAATCATTCCCTCCAACACTTTACATACCACCGATGTGAAACTGACTGGTCTGTAGTTCCCCGGTTGGCATCTTGCCCCCTTTTTGAATATTGGGACTACCGTAGCCCTCCTCCAGTCACTTGGAACTCTACCAGTCATTAAAGAGTCCTTAAAAATGAGGAATAATGGTTTTGTTATAACCTGGCTTAGTTCTTTAAGCACTTTGGGGTGCAAGTTATCTGGTCCCACTGCTTTATTTGCATTAAGTTTTGCAAGTCTTTGTAGTATCTCATTTTCCGTCAACCATTCAGTGTTTGCAGTGACACTTTACATTAATGTAAGCCCCTAGCCTTTCATCCCAGTCTTGTACCCGCTTGTACCCTGAATTGACTTCCTTGGTGCCTCCCTGGTGTTGCACAGCCTCATCAAATTGATCTGTCTACCTTCTGTGCATGTGCTCTGTAATGTCCAATTTATCTTATGGACAGTATATACTTTGACAGAGTACAGACATCCCCATTGGATTGAATGCAGAGAGTTTGTACTCCTTGACAGTAAAGGTGCTGAGTTCTGACAAGAGACTGTGTGATGCCAAAGATGCCACACAATCCAAGACCTCATCAGATTAGGGATAGGTGGGTGTAATGTTGCCAATGTTGCCTTTCCACAGATTATTGTTGTTTTTAGTATATTATTATTATGATTGCTCATAGTTTGTATACTACTATGTGGTTTGTTTTGGAAGTTCAAGCTTTTCTCTCACTGAAGGGTACAGTATGATAATTATCTATATGAAAGTGATAAAACCTCCTTAACACAGGCTAAATATATAAACAAGCTAGAAAAAAAAGATAGTCTCATTAAGATGTGTTAACAAGCAAATATTTACTGATCTCGTATGGTTTTAAGTCAAGAGATATGCAAGTATAGGTTTTAGTACTTTAAGTAGCATCTTTATGCCAATGGTTCAGCTTACAAAATGGAAACTGAAAGCTATTAAAGGAAACCTGTGCTGAGAGAAATATGTAGGCTGCATTTGAGGACCTTTTTTGTTCTGACATTGATAGTTCCCTGGCTGTAATGATGATCTAATGACTTTAGTACTTTCAATGACCCATAACAAGATGCAGATCAACTGATCTGACTTTACTAATGGCGAGTCAGATTATACTGAAGCCGAGGACATCCAAGCAAGGTAGCATTCTCAATGGCAGGTTTTACATTTTCATCAGTACAGGTTGAATTCCACAGCTAATTTCATATCAAGCCGACTTACACGGGGGTGTTCCTGTATTTACTAGCTGCTGAAAAAGACAGAACTCAGGTACTGCTTCAAATGTGAGAATTATACTCCCCCTGTTGAATCTGAAGTCCAAGCAGATATAAAAAACTAAAATGAATGCAGCCTGTATTCAACTATAAATAATGTAATTTTCTAAATACAACTAGTGTAAGTGCCTGATTTGACTTGATATCAGCCTCTTTCTATTCCCTGTATAGCAGCACCCAGACTGGGAGTGGATTGTTTTGATGGAACACCATTGTTTTTTTCAGTTGTCATCTCAATAGGAGGTAAAGCAGAATCTTCCAGTAAGAGGACCTGTTTCCCTCATTCTGGACAGAGGTTTTCACTCACTTCCTGTTGTCTCTGGGAAGCAAGTGAGGTTAAATCTACCCAGCAATGCTGCAAATCCTAAAAAGTCCTTAACATGTATAAAAAAAATCTGGCTATAGATGTACTTTCTGATTGGCACACACATACCTGTGTGCGACATACACACAGATAGAGACTAACTATCTATCTAGTCAGTTGTCTACACCGTAATTATGTTTTTATTTTTTGTTTTTACTAGGCAATGAATGTTAATGAAACACTTATTAAACCCTTGGAGCGATTTCGGAAGGAACAGCTCGGCGCAGCGAAGGTATGGTTATAAAATAATAATATTTTTAGTTCTATGTTAACTGAAAGGAGTTTTTTTGTTGTTATACTTTGTATCCAGTGTCCTCCTTGAACACTATAATAATGAAAGTGGATCTTTACCCAAAGCTCTTATGCTAAATCTGCCCACTATGAATAGTAGACTTCAATAAAAGTTAACAGGGGTTTCACCATTCTTCACTCTAGCCAAAACTGAAAAGAAAAATGTATGTGAAGGTTCGCATTCATCCAGGTCATGGTATATCTGTAAAAAATAAGTCAAGGCAACTATAAAGTAAACTATAAAGCAATAAAAAGTGGTTTTTATTCTTCGGTCAGTGTATGGGCCAGCTTTACATTTTCCACATATTTCACAACCTTCTGAGAGGGAAAGGAAGACTTCTTTTTTTTTTAAGCGCAAAATAATAATAAAAGCATACCTTATTAAAAGCATACCCTATTCACGTCCCAAAACATGTGAACCATGATAAATGAAAGCTCAAGAATGATTACTAAAACCTGCTGGGTCTTTATTCTGCCACTATTCCATTTTAAAAATAACCAATGCAATAACGTGAAGGATGGATAAAAAGGATAGTGCCTTTTAAACATCTCTGGAAGATAAATAGTACATTAATGTATACAGATCTCTACACCAGAGATAAAAGGGGCATTTGAGAACGAACAAGGGACAAATAAGGGATAGTTGGGAACTTAGATTTCCATATCTAAATACCAGCAGACATCCAAAAAAACTCTCAGGCAAACTATTCTGGGGAAAAAATAGCAACTGGTTACTTTGGGTAGTTTCAGCCTGATGCTTTTCCTCTTTCTCTCTCCATTATCGCTATACAGATATATAATGTTTGCATGTCTGATGTCTAGGGCCAGCTTTACAGAGGAGATGGAAATACATTTGATCTTATATCTCCTCTACCCCCTGAAGGTATCTATGGTCAAAAACGAAAAATAAATATGTATTTTTTATATTGAATATCCATAATTAACTTAAATAACCATATTGATCTAGGCTTTTGTAAACTTTATTGAAGATGACCTTCTCAATGCACTGACACAATTTCACTCAGCCCTGTGTATATGCACGTCCTTGTGGCTCAACGCACATAGCCTACCTTATGAACTACAAGGAATGAACAATATAACATTATCATTGCTTGCTGTAAGCATTGCATGATGATATATGCACTAAGAAATGGAGATTGCATCACATTAGGCAGCAGGGAAAGAGTTACAAAGCACACAATTCAGGAAATTGTAGAAAGTGATGGGCAGACAGAAGGCAGCAGTCACTACATAAAAGATCTTAAGCTTTGATTGCATTATCATAAACAACTCTTTTATGTATAACTATTAGTATGCTGATGTTATAACCGGATAGTACAGTATATCCTGGAACTTTAGAACTTTAACAGGGTTCCTCCTCCTTCTGCAGTTCTTGGGATCTTACATAAAAGAGAGGAGTTGCCTGCTTATAATGTCTGCTATTGGTGCACAGCCATGCACATTTACTGTTTCCTAAAGCTGAACTCCAGGCGGATAAAAAAAGACACACAATGCAGCTCTGTATTCTTGAATACATCACTAAATGTATTTTGTAAAAGTAAATAGTGTAAGTACCTGAATTTGACTTGATGTCAGCACTTGGACAGCAGCAAATGTGATGACAAAGAACATTCTGTTAGAAAAAGAGTGCAGAGTGAGCGTAAAGACAACCTTATCTTTTCGCGGTTGCTCTTTTATTGTCCAGTCATCATGCTGCGGATAGAGAGAGGACACCGTTGCATTTCTTAACAGTAAGGACCCAGTCACTCCTATGCATTGCAGTGATGTGCCACAACACATGTTAACACACCATACGTACATTTTATTTGTTTTAGTGCCACCCTAATGCGCTATAGGAATGTACATGCATTCCAGCACACCACATTGCAAAAAATGGTGCATGCCCATTTTTTGTCCTGGTGCGTTGGCAGCCCATTCAAATGAATGCAATGCCTAAGTGCAAACAATGTTGACATGCGCTTTGCATCAGAATGGAAAGGTGTTAATGGGCTGTAAGTAATGTTCTCCACATGGCTGTGCTGAGTGCCATGCTAACAATGTGTACATCTCAGGACAGAATAGGGAGAAATGAAAAAAAAAATGTTGGCAGATAAAACGGCTCCCATGTATGTATTTCATCTTTGTATTCAAGGCCAATAGAAATCATGTGGCCCAGTACAGATTACCTGACAGGGCCCCCCTTGTCAACCTCACTGCCTCCTCCCCTCCAGACAGCAACAAAGATCTCCCCCAAGATTATTATTGCTCCCCAAGGGAAGATTAATGATTATCAGAAGCTATAAATAACCTATTATTTATTTAATTATTACTCTAAGACTATAGTTGATATAGGGTTATCACTCATATGGTACCTACCCCAGGGCAGCACACTGACAAAAATGGTCAAGTAGTCCCCTCTCGGCTCTCGGGACCCCCTGCTAAATTTAGAGGGCCTGGGCCCGCTACAGGAGGCCTGGCTCTACCCTCCAACCAAAAGCCCTGATTGTATTTCGCTGCTTGATGGGAGTTCAGCTTTAAAAATCATTGTATTTGAATGTTCAAACTGCCATCCACCAACCATTGCAGATAGCAGTGTAGCCAAGGTCTTGTTCTTGCTCAAGGTTTCAGTAAGAAGTAGGGAGCTTTCTCTTTTATTAACGCAGTTGTCCCAAACAGATAGATTTCCATTTCAGCAGAAACTAGTGTTTATGAGCCCATGCCTTGACATACAGTTCTGTTATAGTTGCTCTGTAACGCAGCTATCTGTACCATAAAGCTCACATATGCATTCATTTTGTTTGTGTATTGCTTTGTCTGCCTTAGGAGTTTGTTACATAATGTTGTGACCCAGCCAACCAGATTATAGAAGCATAGCGCTAAATATCTTGTTGGAAATGTTTTCTAAGTTGAATATTTTCGTAGCATTAAGCATGGATGGGGTAGTGCCTCCTGTCCTCGTCCAAAAAAGGAATTTTCAAACATCTTGTGTTCAGAGGCACTTGGAAGTGGATCAGCTATTGTCTGCCTGTATGGTTACAGCAGCAGGATGAGAGAATCTTTTCATACAAGAATAACTTGTTCTATTAAGTTGAAGAAGTATGTGCTCAACCTTTTATTATCTTTTATAATCTCCTATTCCTCCGCAAATGTGTTATATTGGCAACATTTTCATAAATAAGAACAAAAAAAGCAAATGTGTATGTGCATCTTAAAGGCTCAGTCCACGTTTGTGACGTGTTTCATGTTACACCCATATTTATGGTATAAACATGGTCACATTCCGTAACCCACCCTCCCCCCTGCCTGAAACGTCACCGCCTTCTTCCCGCAGGCTTCTGTTGGAATTTGACATGCTCCTCCTGCACAACCATGTCATCCATTCATAAATCCATACCCAGGATCTGTGAATGTAGAGACTACAAGTTGCATCTGTCGTTGTGAAAGAGTGGACTTGATTTCAGTGGAACACAAGTACTGCTACGTCACCGCATTTGTATTCCATTCATTGTCTCCAGGAGCCTGTGCATTGCACCCATGATCCACTAATTGCAGTTGAACTGCATTGCAGGCTCCAAAGCAAAAGATTTAAAGTGATATTAAAGCTTCATGTGTGTTTATTGTTTCATAAATAGAAGGCCAATACAACAAGAAATTCTTTGTTGTTTTTTATTAAACATTTTCAATTCCTCGTTTTCTAGTGGCTCACCGCAGCGCTCTCCCCCCGCCCCCTGCACAGGTGCCTCTGTCAGCTAAGCGGCTGCTATGGAGGCACCCGTGCATGCTAGTTCTCCACATCCATAGACACACAAAGCACTGCGGCAGGCCACGCCCTTCCTCTCCGACCAACAGGTTGAATCTTTGGCTTTCTGCCCTCAATCTTCTCTCCTGCAAGTTCGGACGGAGGATTGCTTTGGGGACTGATGGCGATGACAAGTGACACTGACGGGTAAGTGTGTGGGGGACAGGGGACTCAAAAAGGTACTGGGTGTTTTTTACTTTTTATTACAGAGAATGTATTAAGGTAAAAACGACCAGCCTTCAGTAATCCTTTAATAAATGCACTGTGCATGCATTTATTAAATTTTTGCAAAATATGCATTTAAAGAGAACCTGCTGACACTCTTATGGTATACAAATCAATTAGTTGCGCTAGGAGTAGCTATATTTTGTCACTAGCTGCACCAATGTGTTGATAAAAATCAGGCAAAATGAACTAGTATGTTGCGCTCGGTGTTGGTGGATCTCTTTTGGTTTGGAGTAGGTTTAGTTGTCACTAAACACAATGTCAAACTATATACGGTGAAAATGGTGATAAATAATTCTATGTGATTAAATTGTTAAATAGTACTTAAAATCGTGCTAATTTGTGATCTATAAATAAATATATATAAACCTATGTTGTTGATTAAATAGTGTATATAAATTATTCTGTGGTGACTCTAATTGTGTAGGATTACCGTGGTAGCAGTATAATGCTTATACCTAAAAAATTCATTGATACCACTATAAGTGTCTCAACATGGCTTGTTAGTGAATTACAATTAGTGAATGTGTACTTTTGTAAATTGTATCAAGAAGTAAAAATATATTCAAAATGACATCATAATATTGGACTGTGAATACTTCTTAAAATATAGCACATAAAAACCCACATCCAATTAGTGCAGTTCTTCACACATGAGAGGACTTTTTGACATAGACGGGGGAAAACGTTGTATAAATAGTCGTTAAATTCCTCTGTCCATAGTCCTTAATCAAAAAAGGAAAATTAGGGTTATCCAACGACAGCCCACTTATCTGTCCTTCCCGAGGTAAAAACCAGGAAACATTCAGCTCACAAGAGAAAATCCTGATATCCTGTGTTCACTCTGTAGAAGAAAAGCGTTCCTGCCTTTTTCCTCTCAGATTCCCCGTCTAACTTCCCTGCGGCGATGTTAGCAGCCCGCCGGGTACGAATTAAACCGGATAGAGGGGAGAACGAGAAAGAAAGGGAACACTTCTAAGTGTAACAGTAAATTATTTATTTAGACGCAAAGAACTGCAAACACTTACGAAATTCTGTAGAATTAAAAGCTTTGAGTAATAAAAAGACACTCGGCCTTATCGATCATTCAGTGTAATGTAGAGGAATCCCTTTACGCGTTTCGTCCACAAGACTTTTTCAACTGTCTTGTGAGACTTGACCTACCTGGTTACTTTGCAAAGCCCCTCTTACCTGCCTGAACTCCGTTCAAAAAGTGCTCCCTGGATGGCATCTTATGGGCATATAGCAAATAATAAAGATAATAGCAGGCACATCAGCTGTCAGCAGGACACACAGCTAACACGTCCTTTTTGGATATGTTCTCATATATCATATCCACCTGTGAATGTTGTTCTCAAGTATTTTACCATGTGCTTTTTTATTTTACTTTGATAACCCACCCATACATACAAATGCAATTGAATATTAAACTGACAGACATTGTCGATATGAAGCTTATATCAAGCACTTTTGAATAGCGTTCTCATCTCTCAGACTTTGTTTTGACATTTAAGTCAAATTGCTCATTTCAGGAACTTAAGCAAATGTAGTTTTGGCAATTCATACCCACAGATGAAGTCTGTAGCTTTTCAGTTCTGTTTAGTTTTTATGTCCCGTCCCATATAATGTTACCTTATTTTTTTTTTTATTTTTTTTTTCTTCCACCTCATTCTGCAAGTACATTTGTACGATTAGAATGGAAAATCGTATTGTCTGCTAAAGATTTGTCCATATCGATTATAATCGATTATGTCGATTAGTTGTTGCAGCCCTAATCCTGAGCATTGTGCTTTTCCTTTCACATTTCAAAGGACCCATCAGCTAGCTAATCTGCAGGCTCCTGTTTGGTTTTGTCATCTGACTGGTCAGAGAAATGTTGACGTTCTGTCAGTTCGGACACTTGTGTTCTCTAATGTTTCTATGGTATTTTTGTTGGACATATTACTTGTGGGCATGCCATTAATCTTATTGTGATTAGTGATTTAGCATGTTTAAAGTGAAACTCCAAGCTAGATTTTTTTTGATAGCGTATAAAAGGATCATTCGATCCTCACATGGGGTTTTATTGCAGCCTGCATCCTCTGGGGACATTCCTCCTCATACCTCAAAGTGAGATTAATATACTCAAAGTGATTTTGACAGATGTTTTCGGGGCAGTTCGTTTTCCCTACTGGGAAATCCTCTATCAGTACCTGTTCCAGTGATCAGTCGGTATGAAATGTCCCTTCACTTTTGGTGCCAGTGACAGGAAATGAGGATAAATCTCCCCAAAATTAGATGGACAGATTAGAAAAATAGCAAACAAACTAAAACCAGAGGTTGTACCTCATGCTCTGCCCAAATGTTTTGAAAATTGTTTTGCCTGGACTTTGATATGCCTGGCAACTTATTGGTTTTACTTATTATTATAAACATTATAAACTCGATGCTTTAAAGACAACTGTGGGTAAGTGTTCTTCCCCATTGTTCTTTTTAGGGTCACGGGAGGACATATACTAACCTACTCCCATGACCTATAGCTCAGTATATAATGGTCTATTGCCCGCGATATAATGAGGGTGCCGCAGCCGGGACGGATCCCGACAATACTGTCTGGATACACCCAGCTGCGTCAGTGACAGCTGTCTCTGCCTATCTAGAGGCAGAGCAAGCTGTGCCTGCCCCCTCCCCTGTTCGTTCCTCCACTCAGTGCTGGATGATCGGAGAGGGGGGCAATCCCTGCGGGGGGAGATGACTGACAGTCCCCGTTCTCTGCAGGGAGATGATGGGAAAGTGAACGAGCAACGGTATGCGTTCGCTCACTTCCCGATCAATAGAGCCGACCTGTGACAACTTCTTTGTCACAGGTCGGGTCTAACTATGAGGATGAGTGAAACCTTATAGTTCTCCTTTAAAGCATTTGGAAACCATATTCATGGCCTTGTTTTTGGATGGAATTACTGCACTGACTGACCAGGATAGCAGGGTATTACAATATTCTGAACATTATCTCAGGAGTGTTTTTATTTTGTTTTTTTAATTCGCTATCACACACCTCCCAACTTCAGAACTTAAGAAAGGCGGACACCCTAGAAATATGAGAACCTGTGGCGCACTTTGCGTGACTAAGAGAAAAGTGGGTGGGGTTCATATACTGTGAATATTGGACATGGCTTAATAAGACTCTGAGCCTACTCACTGTGTACAACACGCATGTAGGCTACATTCCTCGTGCACACAAAATACTTCTTAATTACAGGGACACAAATGAAAGTCTTGTGCCATGCACAGAATATAGGCAGACATCTAACAGTTTGTCTGATTCCGCCTTAAAGAAGAACTTAAAGTACGATTAAACAGCTTTGCTGTCTAACGACGGTTAGACAGCAAAGCTGGGTGATTCAGAACAAAGCATCTGTAGAAGGCTCCATTCACACCAAGGTGGATGCGTTTTTCGCATGAATTTTAAATGGGCCATTTCGACAATGAAATGCAATTAAAAACGTGCTAATCATCGCGTTTCCATTTAAACCTGTAATATGGAATTCGTGCTGATTAGCGCGGAAAAAAGGCCCAGGGAGCATTTCAGGCGGCAGGCGGTTTGAATCGCATCGAGTCGCGATTTTGCATTAACTGTCCTCATAGGGATGTATGGAATTGTTCATGTCGGCAGTTAAGCGTGAATTGTTTTGCAACTGTACTGTCTCCCTTCATTTTGTATAGTGCTGCACAAACCGTTGGTGCTATTTAAATCCTGTATAAGAATATTAATAAGCATTGTGTGGTCCCTTTTGGTGATGCCATCCGATCCCCCTCCCCCATAACTTGTAAGTTTAAAAAAAATAGTTATCATCCCAACTTTAAAGTCTTTCTTGAATGCACTTAGCACTTGGTCCCATTCTGGTCGGTGACCCCTTATGCAATAAAATGGCATTTTAATTTCTGTTTGTGTTGTAGCTCCACCCCATGCTCAACCCCATTATATGGGCACTCCGATGGGAGAGCTACAGCACCTCACTTGATCACACAGTCCTATGGCGATGACTGTTTATTTAATATTGTGAATGGACATTCAGCACCAAATTGCTGGCTGCACATTTACAATAGAATTAGCGCTGTGGGTCATCTGTGTGGTCTATCCGATGGTGCAGTGGCTGTTTACTAGCAGTCGGCAGAAAGATGAAACAGCCCGCAGCGCTTCCTGATTGTTTACTATTGTGAATGAACAGTCAACGCTGTTAACTACTTGCTGGCAGATCTATCACAGTCCCACAGCGTGACTGTAGCAGAAGGCATTTCATTCTTAATGCTGTATATCCTGTAATATAAAATATATGAATATATGGAGAATCTAACTGTGACAGAGAGGGGTTGTCTGTAATGGCCAAGATTTTAATGAAAAACGCATTATAAAGAATTAAGCATTTTGTGCATATTTATGTAAACTCTTTCTATGTGTTTATATAATTTAATGCTTGTATATCTGTTTCAGGAAGAGAAAAAAAAGTTTGATAAAGAGACAGAAAAGAACTACAGCAATCTGGACAAACATTTAAGCATGTCTTCAAAGAAGAAAGAGCCACAATTGCAGGAGGTAGGGCTCGTGCACAGTTAAACCTCAATAATGAACTATAGACTTTTTATGGTTTTTATATTGGAAGAAGGTCATTCTGAGATAAATAATCACATCTAATTGTGTTAACTGTAATTTGTAATTATATAGGTGCTTGGGGATAGTTAATTTTGTGCATTGCATATAAAGGCTCTACTTTGTGCTTAGAAGTGCTGCTCTTTTAAATGTGCCTTGCTGACCCTATCTCCCTGCAAGTCTGTCTGACTGAAAACAAAAGACCCTTTGCAGTCTTCAATCATATAAAACATCCACTATGTTCTTGATAGCCAGGGATCATTGTGACTAGACAGCCTAGGCTTTAGGTCAGAAGAGAAACAGGTACTTTTTAAATACATTTTTTTTTATAACACTGGCTTTCTTCATGTGAATAGTCCACATTAAAACAGATTTAGAAATCAACTTTATATGTTGCTTGCTCTGTCCAGTGCTGTTCTTTAAATATGTGTAGAGCCTATCTATGTTCTACTCCTTGTTGAACTTTGCACCTTTTTAGGCAAGTGTGAAATGATGGGCTGTGTGTTTCCTTTCACTTGTAAAATGTACTTTTTTTTACAGTTTTTCATTGTTATTGACACAGTTTCACAGAGTAAAATGTACTTTTGACATTTATTGGTGGTCAATGATTACTAAAATATTTACTGATTTGTCACGTGCACATTACAGCTGTCTTGTCATTGCTTAATGAAGAAGTGTGCAGCCTGTAGGTCTCTAAATTACCAGACATGGCAACTCTTCTAGAGAACATGATGCCAACAACAAAAATAAAATTAGTGGAGAAAAATCCAATGTTTCTGGATAATCTTTGTGACTGCATTTGTCCTTGACACCCTCATTTTTGCAGAGGAGTTATGCATAACCGAATGCTTGTTCATAAGCACACTCCTGTGTTAGGGCTGCAACTAATGATTATTTTTATTAGGGATGCACTGACACCAGTTTTTCGGTATTGAGTGCGAGTACCGATATTCATCATTTGGTACTCGCCAATACCGACTACTGATACAGGTACTTCTGCTAGCATAGACCTGGCTTCCCAGCCAATCAGGAAGCCCGGTGGTGAGTCATTACCCGCCCGGCTTCCTGGTCTGTCAGGAAGCCGGCTCCAGGTTACCCTGTGACCGGAAGTTCTGGTATCGGGGGTATATATCGGAGCAATACTCGGTATCGGCACAGAAACCGATAGTAGTATTGGTATCGGTGCATCCCTAGGTTTCATAATCAATTAGTTGGCCGATTTTTTTATTTTTTGGACCGGGAAAAAAATTAAACAAACACCATCCTCAATTTAAAATAAAATACACAAATGCAGTGAAGTTTACTTCAGAATAAAACTTCAGGCGCAGTTTTTTGCACTCGTACTGCACTGGAACGCATGGCATTGCGGTACTGTGCGTTCTAGTGCCGGCAATCTCTCTGTGGGTAGCGGGTTCATTTGGGGTGCCATTTAAATTAATGGCTTTGCAACGCATTGCAAATAATAATAATAATTTTTTTAATAATTGCGTTTTAAGAACATGGCGCTTGAATAATTTTAAACCAGGGAATGACGGCTGACATTGGCAAGATTCCGCAGACGGCAGCTGAATGTAAATACAGCAGGTAGTAAGCTGGCACATTAGCCAGCTTGCTATTGGCCATTTCAAATTGGAGTAGCCAATAGCAGGCTGGCAATTGCACCCACTCACTGCTTGCTGTGCCCTCCTCCCAGATAGTTGACAACTATTCTCATCGATTATTATCAAGTTGGTTGTAGCCCTGCCTGTGTACACGTGCCAACAAAGGTAGCCTTTTATAAACTGGAGGTGAATTTACTACTACTACTACCTGTTGTGGCAAGGCACAATAACAGAGGCAGTTCATTGGCATTCAGGATAGCGTTAAACTAGTATTATAAATCTAGTACAAGACTTTCATTATAGCTATACATGTTAAGTTTGACCATAGGAATAATTGTTTACTCAGAAATCTCTCTGCTGTCCACACAATAACTCTTACTTCCATTAATAGAGCAATCTTAGCTGCAAGGCTGAACACACTGTTTTTCTTGGCCTTCTTTTTATCCTCCAGAGAAGTTATTTTCAAATTAGCATGCTTTTTCCAAAGGATCTGCTATAGAGGAATGTATGAGAACATGAGCAAAGGATGTGTTTGCGACCTTTCCGACAGGGTCATCTCACTAGAGAGAAGAGAATCCACTATTCCACTTATCCCTCAGCATTAGGAATTCACATAATTTGTGCAGTATTCTGGGTATTCACAAAATACCCCTAATATCTTTTGACAGAAATTAGCATTTTTATTTATATTTTGTCATGTAGAGAGTAAATTGTGAGAGGCTGGGGTCCCTTCTTTCCTACCACTTATCACTGTTGGTCAGAAAAGTGACCCTATCAATGGGCCAACAGTGCCTTACAGAACCAGATTTAAGCAAGGAGAACCCTCTGACCTTTTAATTTTCATATTAATTGCAGTGTTACTTTTTGGTTCATTGACACATTTAAGTATTGCCCATCTTTATACCTTTTGTTTTTCACTTAAGAATTTGGAAACATCATTCAGAACTTGAAATCTTTACTAAATTGTTGCTGAATAATTTGAAAAACCATTAACCGTACCAAGGCAAGCAATATAATAACATATTCAATAATATGCATCGTGCATATATTCCAGCTTGTTGTTATTAAAATACAATTTGATGTTACTATGATACAATTCCCACTATCACCAATCAGCTAGTTAAGATGTTTGTGAGAAAAAAGTGTCAAAAGACGATAATTTTTGATATTATTTGATAGATCAGCCAGTGACAGCTCAAGAACTTGCAAGTGAATACTTTATTAAAGTATTTTGCAGAACAGAATGAAGCCGGTTATCAAACAGACAAAACCTGATAAGAAAACACAGAGACAAGGAAACAGCTTATGCATATCATAGACAATTAAATAGAAAAAAAGCTTTGTAAATATGCAGCAGTACTCCCAGGATGCAAGCAGCCAATCACAATAGCACAATTACTTGCCAAGGTTTCTCACCATGCTGAGGCACTGGCATCCCACCAGTCATAGCCACTTCCCTGTTGAGGAAAGTCACTACATCTGGTTGCTGTCTTCCCTGGCCCACAATAGTTGCCTGCTGTTTAGAACTTGGATGCCTAGACACATGCCTTAAGGCCGTGACACACTGCACACGAAGCAGCGCGGAGCGGGGGCGCGCTGCCTTTGCGAGCAGTGTGTCATGTAATTTTCTGATCGGCACCTCAGCTTGCGAGAGCTCGCGGAGCTGAGCGTGCCGAGATGAACAATTTCAACTTCAGCCGATCGGCTCGCGCGTATAAACCAGCGCGTCGCGATGCGACAGCTGGCAGGTTGTTACGGACGAGCCGATTGGCTGAAGGTGCTGTCAATCATCTGACTGCACTCAGCTCACACACTGCACGCAAAGCTCCGTGCCGGATAGCTTTGCTTCGCTCTGCACGGCTTCGCGTGCAGTGTGTCACGGCCTTTAACGCCCAGTAGCTACATTGAGGATATAGTAAACATACTATGTCAGTAATCGTCCGTGGGAGGCTGAAAGGCTGCGGAGTCCGTCTCACGGAGTAGGAGGGGACGTCAAATAGCTACGCGTTTCGAGGCGAATGCCTCTTTTTCAAGCCAGAAAGGGAATCCAAGCCAGAAAGGGAATCCAAGGTTTCTTGGATTCCCTTTCTGGCTTGAAAAAGAGGCATTTGCCTCGAAACGCGTAGCTACAGTATTTGACATCCCCTCCTACTCGGTGAAACAGATTCCGCAGCCTTTCAGCCTCCCACGGATGATTACTGTCATTTAAACCTACTGCCCACTGACAGCGCTGTACACCGTAGCAGAGAAGCTCTTCCGATATTTCCACACGCACCTGCCAAGGCTCAGCCTGGCCATCTGAGACCTCACAGCACCCGACGGTGACATCCAGTGCTCAATACGTTCAGAGCTGCGGCAGTCAGACGTCGTCCCCAGCCCAAAACATCTCCCTTCCAGCCTTTAGGCTCCCTCCTCAGGCTTCCAAGCAGTTCTTCCCCATCTGCAGGCACCATCATTCTCCACCACCAATCACCGACTCACCCATTCTCTCCATCAAACAGTGAGTCACTTAATTTCTTATACGTTTCTTATGTATCATACCCTAACCAAAGTTGTTTAGTACCAAACATATATGTACAACCAAAGGGGAGTAGCGCTTCTTTTCTTTGTTTTTTGTCGATTCTGTACACATGGTTCTTCTCCCTGTCCAAGAAGCCAGCACACCCTATACCATTAATTACATTTAATCACTTACCCATTTCCACAGTAGTGCGCGTACCACACTTTTTTGCTTTCTACCATAGCACACGGAAGCCATATTTTTCTTGGTACGAGGAAAGAAATTCTCAACCCGGAAAATACTCAGTCGCAGGAATCCTCACTTTTCTACAGTCCTACTTGGATCAACAATTGTCCCTTAGTATGATCAAGGGTCAAATCTTAGCACTTGTTCTCTTACTTCCAAGACCTCCCATTGTCAATGCTTCCCATTCTTAGATTAAAACTTTTGTAGAGGGTGTCTCATGTAGCTTCCCCTGTGCATCCACCTGTACTAAATCTGGTTCTGCGACTTCTCACCCTGGTTCTCTCAACTGTCACCCTTTGAACCTATCAGGAATATTCCCTTTTCCACTTTAACTCACAAAGTTGTGTTCTTTGTTGCCATCACCATCACTTGTCTGAATTTGGTGGCTTTGTCCTGTGGAGAACATTTTCTGGTCTTAAACAAGGACAATGTGGTATTAGGGCCTAAAGCCTCCTTTCTTCCCATGGTTTTTTCAACTTTTCATATCCATGAACGAGAAAGGAAATTGATTTTTGTGCAGTAAAATCCTATTGGAATTTCATTGAGGAATAAAGTCCCACCCCTCTGCTTTCTGGTGCTGCTTGTTACAAAACTGAGGCATGCTTAGAGTAGGAAGGTTATACAAAGCTGGTCACTTTTTTTTTCTTTGCCACTGTCCAAACGCTCTTGTATGTGGTAGTATAACCAGTTGTCTTTTAATCTCATGTCTCTCAAACTTTCGAAAAGGTTGTTATGGTGAGAACAAATATCCAATCTGTTTGGATAAAGTGGGGAAGGGTTAGACCTTCTTTCAAGTTTTTATTGTTGGTTTGAGAATAAAAGTGAGGAGATATCCAATATTTTAGAGTTGTCCCCAGAACAAAATTGAGTGGAAATATTTTTATGGGGACACTTGTTCTGGGGACAGCTGTCTAAGGGGGAGCATTCCCTTCACTTAGAGAGTTTTCCACTAATTTCCAATTGCCTCTCTGGTAGGGATGCACCGATGCTAGTATGGGTGCCGATGCCAAGTATTCGGGCGAGTACTCGTAGTCTCCCTAGTCTCTGGGACAGGAAGAAAAGGGAAATTTCCCCAATGGTGCACAGACAGCAAAAAAAAATATCCTTATTATGTTTTTATTTTTTCCTTCTCCTGTATACAGAGAGTTCAGACAGCTCAGCCGCAGGCACCACAATGTGTTTATTTTCCCACCCCGCTGAGTGCCTGGTTGCTTGCTGTGTGTTTGTCAGCTTCAGTCTAAGTTTTGCATGTCCTGTATAAAATTAGTGCATTTTCCTTTGTAAGACTAAGCTTTTCACTCCACTCTGCATGCACTACTCATGTTGAAATGATAAATCCATGTATAGGGTGCTTAAGAAAAGACGTCTGTATGTTTTTGAATACACAGCTCTTAAATTTGTTTGAGAGGGATGCTCAGATCTTTTCCTTAAAGGGTATGGCATGAAATGTACAGTGCAGTTATTCTGGATCTTTAAACAGCTGTTTTCTTTCTTCCTCATTCAGGCAGATGTCCAAGTGGAGCAGAATCGGCAACATTTTTATGAGCTGTCACTTGAATATGTGTGTAAACTGCAGGAAATCCAGGAACGGAAAAAATTTGAATTTGTGGAACCTGTAAGTGAGGACAATGGTATATACAACGGAAGCAAAAAGATGGGAAAAATAAAAAAAAATTACCAACAGTTTATTGGTTCACTGCAAGTTCTCCCTAAACTTTAAAGCTCTTCTGTAACCACCCCAGTAAAGTTATAGCAATCTTTCTGCCACCCAGTTATGTTATGCAATGTATTGTCGGTTGCTTGTTGCACACTGAAAAATTTTGTTAGTAACTAACTACATTTTATTTTGTGGCTAATTAAATTCTTTGTTTACATCTTGCTGCCGGCTGGCCGCTAGATTCTGCGGTCGGAAGAAGAATGTAAACAACGGGGAGCAATAGCCAGCCTGCTATTGGTTATTTCAGATTGCAAAAGCCAATAGCAGGCTGCTTATTGTACCCTCCCACTGAGCAGAGCACCGGACCTGAGAGTGAACTTTCTCGCTAGGGTCTGCTCCTCTGCTCAGTGGGCAGATTTCAATAACCAGCCTGCTATTGCAATTTAAAATAGCATGCTAGCAATTGCACCCGCCGACTAAGCAGAGGAGCGGATCTGAGAAAGAATTTTCTCTCTTAGATCCACTCCTCTGCTTAGAAGTTGGGTGCAATAGCAGGCTGACCTGAAAAGCAAACAGCAACTACAGTTATCCGGCCCCTGCCGATCCCCGTGGGTGCTGGATAACAGGGAGTTTACTTTACTTGCATTTTTTTCACACAGTGTTTGGCCACTCTTTGAGGTAGAACATTGCAGCCACGGGCAGCTCCCAACCCCTCCCCCATCTATCCTTCATGGTAACATTGCATTTAGGACCTGTTTACACCAGCAGGAGCTTGTTATGTTGTGTATAAAGCGCGTTATGCTCTGCTTGTGCATTATGTAACAGGTGGAGCAATGCGTCACAGTGTTTCCTTTTTTTTGTAGGTTATTGAAATGTCCTAATGTGACACTTCATTCAAGTCTATGCACAACAGGGCAATGCACCGCAAATCAGTGCGTTGACAGCCGTTTCTGTGCATTGCGCTTTGTAAAAATGCAGACATGCTGAATTTTCATGTAGTGCACACAAACGCCCAGATATGGTGTGAACAGTGTGCTTGCAGTGTTGTTGAAGCAATAGCAGTGTTTTGGAGAAGCCTTTTGTATCTTTGGTTTGTTACCTAGGCAGAGCATGCGTGTGTGTGGCCTAAACATTGGAAAAGATTCCTGTCCTCCTTCCAGTGGGGATGTAAATGACTGAAGGGGGGCAGTGTTCTGGGAGGTGATGCAGAAAGGCATATGCTGTGTGTAGAATTTTAGATTCAGATCTTTTTGTCTGGGTACTACTTACTTTGAGAAAGGTGGACTTGGACCCATGGAAAGATCCGTATGATCAAACCTAAACTATAAGCGTTTACTCCTGTTTGAAGACCTCTGAGTGCCTACTGAACTTTTGCTATACTACTGCTACCATGTGAAGCACCGCTGCATTTGTTTCTGGATTGAGTGCTGGTACCAATATTCTATGTATCGTGATCAGCTGTGGGGGTCATTTTGATAGCTCAGCATAAAAAGAACTTTCCTGGAGCATTTCAGTCCCTTGTAGTGCAACTGAAGCAAACAATCAACTATGGATGGCAAGGCACTTTCAAAAGGTCTCCATGATAAAGTTGTAGACAGGCACAAGTCAGGAGATGGATGCAAAAACATTTCAAAGGCTTTATCAATGCCTAGAGGCACAGTGAATTCTATTATTAAGAAGTGTAAGGTATTTGGTACAACACAGACTCTCCTTGGATCAGGACTTCGCTCCAAACTGGATGAAAGAGCCAAGAGGAAATTGGTCAGAGAGGAATTTATGACAGAGTGGGCATTGTGTGCATGCAACAATATCACAAATTTTCCACAAATGTGGCTTGTATGGGAGGGTTGCAAGAAAAAAAGGCACTGCTCAAGAAAGGCCACATGCAGTCACGACTAAGCTTTTGCCAAAACGCACCTTGAAAATTCTGAGGCCACATGGAAAAAGGTGTTATGGTCAGATGAGACTAACATTTTATTGTTTGGCCTCAACACCAAACAATTTGTCCAATACAGCTCACCATCCAAATAACACTATTCCTACAGTAAAGCATGGAGGTGGTAACATCCTGTTATGGGGGTGTTTGTCTGCAGCAGGCACTGGAGCACTTGTCAGGATAGAAGGAAAAATGGATGGGGCAAAATACCATCAAATTCTTGAGGAAATCTGCTGCCCTCTGCCAGAAAGTTGTCAAAGGGAAGAAGGTTTACCTTCCAACATGACAATGACCCAAAGCACACAGCAAAAATGACCATGAAGTGATTGAAGGAAAAAAAGGTGAATGTCCTTGCATGGCCTAGTCAGAGCCCAGACTTAAACCCCATTGAAATTCTGTGGAATGACTTGAAGACTGCCATCCACAAACGGTCACCATCAAATTTAACTGAACTTTAACAGTTCTGCAAAGAAGAGTGGGCAAATATTGCAAAGTCTAGATGTGCAAACATAGTAGAGACATATCCCAACAGACTAAAGTCTGTAATTAAAGCAAATGGTGGTTTAACAAAATACTGACACAAGGGGGTGATCCTTTTTCCAACTCAGTGATTCTGTTTTTGAATTTTTTGGATTTTCTTCTGACATGTTGGTGTTTATATCTTTCACTTGGATGAGTAAATACAGCTGGATAAAACAAAAACTGTGTCTGTCTTCATTTCAGGCTGCAAAGCAAAAAAATGTGATTATTTTAAAGGGGGCGTAATTATTTTCTATACTCCACTATATCTTTTATTTGTTGCCATGTTTTGTTTTACGATTGTGCCATTCTGTTATTACCGTAAAATAAAAGAAATGTGTTTTTCCTGCTCACTCATGTTTTCTTTAAAAATGGTACATATAGTACCAATTCTCCAAGGGTATGCAAACCTGTGAGCGCAATTGTATATAAATTATAACTGTGAGAGTCACTGTTTACATGAGCTTTGAGAGGTCAGCAGGCAGTACTGGAGGATGAGATGGCTGTGGGAAAGGTGTAAGCTGAAAGCCTATGCTGTCAACTCTAGATGCAGCACATACTTCATGCAGTGCCTACTTCAAATAGACTTGGCATCAATAAGATAGCATTTAATAAACCTTATGTAGCGAAGTATCTTAATACCACATTAATACTGTAAGTGGAACAGAAGCTGGATAGAAGCATGTATTTGCTAAACAAAAATTGACAGCTGTGCGATTTCATTTATGTGTTAATTATCAATCTGAGTCAAGATAACACTCTCGTTAGTTACATGCTGTGCTTAGTTTGTTATATTTAGTTGACAGGTTACTGCTTTAGAGCAAGTTGGTACAGGAATCCACTTCTGCTTTCAGTCAGGGACACCAGTGGAATTTGGTTGAAGGGGGAAGTGCTATGTATTCCTGCAGAAACTGCACACATATAATGTAGCATTTAGGGGAAAACATTAATGCAGAAAAATAACCCACAGACATTAACTCATAGTCTGAAGAAATGTACAATTTCAAGTCAAAGGTTTTTTTGTCTAAAAAAGGTCACAGAAAGATTGTTCATGCTAAGTTTTCTTTGTATGAGAGTCACCATCAAAATCAGTTTGTAGAGCTGAAGATTTTCTGTCAGTCTTTTTTTCATAGCTGCCATCACAAGATAAACAAATTATCTACACACAGTGTATCCCTTGTACCTGGAAGCATCAATTTCATATAATTTGGCACCTTCAGATGTGTATTGTTTTTTTGTTTTTTTTTAATACATGTTTTTCAGTTTAGAAAATGTGTGATATATTGTAACCTAGTTATCAATTCCTAACTCCATCCCAAATATTGTTTGTTTATAGTAGGAGATTGGGGAAGAGCAAGGACCTCTGTCAAAGTTTTATTTGCTGCCTTTCTCCTCATTTGAAAGATTTCTGCTCACTTAGACAGAACAGGAACTGAGGGGATTTTTTTATATTATTTTCGGTCTATTTAACAGATGTGATCAAGAACTGGAAGTGATGGGAATCTCCCAAATGGGGAAATGGCAAAAATAAATAAAAAACATTCTAGTAGAGTGGTCAAAATTTGGAACCTCTTTTGGGACTTTATTGCTTTGTCTCCACAAGGAAGATTTAAACACACTTCCTGCTGTTGAGTTTGCCAAGATTTCCTCGAAGATTGACAGATCTTTTTGCTGCTCTTCACCATTTCCTGGGGTTGTGCCAGAGACAGAAACATTTCAGGGGTTCTACTTTAACTGTTCACTGTCCCCAAACCAACGAGATGGGGGGGAGGGGTACTCAATGTAAAAATTCTAAACAGATTCCTGTGAGCCTTGTGGACATCATGGATGAATGTTTTTGCACAACCCATTTTTTCTAGCTGAACACTACTTGCATTTTGCTGTGGACATGCAACAGTTTGTTATTTTTTCATTTGGCCTGTCAACTGTGCCTTCGGTCTTCACAATGATGCTGGCCCCTGTTTGGGCTCTGCTTTGGTCTTAGTGGATCCCATAGTGGGGACAGCCTTCTCTTCAGATCATTTGGCAGAAGCCTTATACAACTTTCATTAGATGATACAAACCATGCATATCTTTGAATGGGTCCTGAATCTCGAGACATCGGTGCTGGAACCTTCTTATCTCGTCTTGGACATGTGATTGTATTCTTTATTATCTTCTGTTTTTTAAATAGAATAGTCTGATTTGCCAATTCTTGCTATAAAGGCGTTTTTAAATTGCTATTTTTATGTTATATTATTTCAATTAAATTAAATTTTTATATGCCTTACTTTCTTTTTACAATAATATACTTTTATGTGTGGGTGCTGTTTTCATTTATTTATGCTCTTTGTGACTGTTATCAAGTGATTTATGTTCATAAGTATTCATTTATAAAATGAATAGCAATATTATTTATTGGTAAATGTATTTATATGCAAGTTAATTTTAATTTAGCATAGTGCCATGGTTAGTTTTATTTATTGGTTTTCATTTATTGTGGGAAAAAGTGGTCTAATTGCAGTAGGATTCTGTGTTTTTTATAGAGCTACTGCTCACAAGTGATGCAAAGTCTACAAAATAAATCCAGAAGTATGGGTTGCCGGCATGGTCTGTGCATGTCACCAGTATTCCAGACAGAAAATATATGTCCTACTAATAGCAAACCTCTGTCACACATTTTATTTTACAGTCTTGTGAAGCTGAATGATGTCAGTCTCTAATATGTTTTCCACAAATGTGTTTAATCATAGTAATTTGTGCAATGCATGTTCCCCTACCTGCTGATGGCTGCTCTGCACTCCCTTGCTGCTCTGTCAGAGCCCATTGCAAATTACCGGTTCTTCTCAGGATGAAGTGCTTGGGCCTGAGCACCCAATTGCCAGACACAAACACTGTCATGTGAGAAGGAGGAAGGAGTTAACCCTGCGTAAATGTTGACATGGAGCTTACAGGGGGGTTTAAGAGTCCGCATAGCTAGGAAACGGTGGGTAGGTGCAAGAAAGGTATCAGTTGGTGGGAGGTTGTTATTGTTCTCATGAGAACCCTGTCCCTGAATTGGCAAAGTAACAGTCTTTTAAAAAATGAAATGTCAGCAGAAACATGCTGTGCTCAGGGCCGGTGCAAGGATTTTTGCCTACACAGGTGAAGGTGCACAGGCACATCAATGTCTGCATTCCTGTACAGTGCGATCGGAAAAAATAGTGCATGCAACAACTTTTATTGCACAAACTGAACTGCTGTCTCTCTGCCTCTGCACTCCACCAGGCAGCTTCCAAGCACTGGTATATGCAGGGAAGCCATTGTAGGACTGGTGCTTTCACAAGCTTCAGGTTTTAGATCAACTAGTCATGAAGTTTCATTTTATTAGTGTTATTCTGCAAGCTTATTATGGTTACATTTTAGTTGCATAGAATGGGCATTTGTAGGTTTTAAGTATGATTTGATTTTTTTTTGCCTTTTTTAGATGCTGGCTTTCTTCCAAGGGATTTTTACTTTTTATCACCAAGGATATGAACTTGCTAAAGATTTTAGCCACTACAAGTTGGAGTTACAGATTAATATTCAAAATGTAAGTTAAAATGTATCTAATATAATCTGTTCTTAAACTTTTAGGTACTATGATTTAGTTACGCTTTTACTTTCCTCAGATGAGCCAAAGACTTATTGCATTGGTCACAGCCTATGCCGGCTTGGGTAGTTCCTGTCCTCTTTACCTCAGCCGAAGGGTTGCGGCATATCATGTGCAGCTGATTCTCTGTAGTACCTAATGTAGAAGCATATATATATATTCATATAGTGTGTATGTGTGTGCATATCTTTTGTGTGTATATATTCTCTCTCTCTCTCTCTCTCTCTTTTTCTCTCTCTTTCTCTCCTCTCTCTTTCTCTCCTCTCTTTCTCTCTCTCTCTCTCTCTCTCTCTCTCTCTCTCTCTCTCTCCTCTTTCTCTTTCTCTCTCTCTTTTCATTATTATTCACAATTATGGAGATTGCAGAGGGACAAATGGATCAGGCTGGGGCTGGGGGAACAGGCAGCCACAATCTCCAGCAAGGAGAAGTCATCCCTAAAATACCTGAAATATGAGAAGCTAATCAGTAATGCCACCATAACCAAATGTAAGGTGGAATGACCTGAAAATTAGATCACTTTTGCTTATAATTTATTATGTCTTTGGCTTGATGATTTTCTTTTATTTTTTTTTACCTTTTTTAAAATGTATTTCTAAAGTGTACCTGTGGCCAGATGATGGACATTAAAATATTTAAATTTTCTTAAGCATTAAGCACGTTTTAAAACAAACCATCCCTTGCTTCTCCAAGCTGCTTTTAAAAAGGTTATTCATGCTCTGTGATCACAGCAATAACTCTAAGGGCCTGTTCACACGAAGTCCGTTTTCTGTGCTGACCTGATCCGTACGCTCCTGCACTAAAAATGCATCCCAATGTATCCCTATGTGTTTTATGGGCTACAGTTGTCACGTGCGCAGTCCGTTCAGGTTACAACAGAAAAAATACTGAATGTCACATTTTGTCCGGTCAGGAAACGGACCCAAAACGTGTCAAAAACGCACTGCACTGCAACTAACATACTGACAGCCCCACTCCAGATTTTTTTTTTTTTAAACTGGAATGCATCAAAAGCGTGGCAAAAACGCACTGCATCAGTAGCACCGCGTCTGCAGATCCGCACCTGATCAGGACCTGATATCATGTGAACAGGCCCTAAGGCCCAATGTAAAGCATGTTACGTTAAAGTACATTTACATGCTTCAGTGCAGCCTCTCAACATATGTGCATTGGTCTGCAGTGCCAAAATGCAGCCTGCACCTTTTTCTGGTACTTTAGGAAGCCAGTTCATAAAGTGTTAACATGCATGTGCTATTGGGTTTCAGTTTGTTTCTATCAGCTTAGAACACCTGCAGGTTGTTTACATTCAATGGCAGGCAGCCTGGCAAGATTTGCTTTGCACAGAAAAACACAGTGCCTGTGTTGTGAACTTTGCAAATTGCTGCACAATGCCTATACATACAGAGATGAATGGGGGGTTCTGAAGTACTTTTACTGCTTGATCAGAATATGTATATATGTTGTGGCACAGTCTGGGCACCACCACATTTGGCCTTCTGTAATTTCCTGCACAGCAGCATTTAAACTGAGAGGGAGTGAGGCAGCTCTGAGCCACAACCAAAACTCTATTGTTTTGCACACTGCCATCAATCACAAAGTAAACAGGAGAGACATAGAGCACAAATGACCTCATTTGCTCTTTTATTGGTCTGTGGCAGGCTGGGTTGGATCCTAGGTCAGACTGTGTTTATTAACTGTAGTGTGGTCTACAAAGAAGTCCAGGACCTGGACATTTAGTGTGGCAGGAGTGACTAGATATTGGTTGGGTTAATCACAAATCCATTGACCAGAAGGACATATTCCAACTACATATGAGACTGTTTGGCTTGAGTTCTTCCCTGATGTTAAAAATGGATAGTATCCCTATAAAAAATTATAGATATTGCTACTACTTGAAAGCTATTACAAAAATAAAGAATAAATTACATTTTATTTCTTATTTTATGCACTGTTCCAATTATCTTACTTTTTCCGTTTGGTTTTAGGGTAATGTTAACTAGAACATTTCATAGTGAAAAAGCTGCAAGTGTGAGAGGCCAGTGCCACCTAGAGGGCATTTTGATCTGGTACAGAACTGTATGCCACATCTACTGTATATTTATTGCTTTTTGATAAAAACAATTAGCATAATCATTTTTTTGTTTCATTGCCATTTTCCCTATTTCAGGAAATGCAGCAAGGAAAAGATTATGCTACCTTGGTTGAAAATGATAGACAACACTCTTGGGCAGATGTTAATAGATAGAGTTGTGTGAGTGGAGAAATTGCCCTAATTTACTATTTCTTACAAAAAAAAAAATATTTCATGGATTTTATACATTGGCATTTTGCAGGGCTGCTATATAGGTGCTGTAAGATCTTGGATTAGCCATAAAGATTCTGTGTTGAATGCTTTTCATTGCAAATAAGTATCCAGTTTCAGTGAATAACTGTTAGGCCTTTCAGCCGTCCGTCTCTTGCTCTGTATACCTGTGGCACAGGGTCTTTGTTGTCTGGGGAACTGGTTGCTGGGTGGTATCTGCCTTCTCACAACCTGCAGCTGTCCATTCAAGCCAATGCACTGTCTGAATATAAGAGAGAACCTGTAGTGAAAAAAGCTAAAAAAACAAAAACAATTTAGAGATGTTATACTCGTGTAAATCTCTGTTATCAGTCTTTCAAGATTTCTATAATATCTAGGCACATAATTTTACATTTAAAGTAGTATTAAACTCTTTAACTTTTTTTTCAGTAATTAATCCAGATCAAAAAATATATACGTTGCCAGCAAAGTATTTCTTTATATTTTTGACCAAGCACTAAGGGCCTGTTCACCAGATTTTCAGGTCCGGATTTGCAGACGCAGGGCTATGTGTTTTGCCGCGTTTTTGATGCGTTCCAGTAAAAAAAATTTTTTTTTTGCTGGAGTGGGCCTGTCAGTATGTTAGCTGCAGTGCAGTGTGTTTTTGACGCGTTTTGCGTTTACAGACCATTTCCTGACCGTACAAACTGTGACATGCAGTATTTTTTCTGTCGTAACCTGAACGGACTGCGCACGTGAGAACTGTAGCCCATAAAACACATAGGGATACATTGGGATGCATTTTTAGTGCAGGAGCGTACGGATCAGGTCAGCACAGAAAATGGACGTCGTGTGAACAGGCCCTTAGTCATCATGTTGGTTCCAAGTCTCTAAGCTCAGCTTCCCTGAACTTCCTGTCCAGTACAAGATCACAGGAGACAGCACAATCTCCAACTATTCAACTACCAGCTTGTAGAAGGGTGGAGGGGGGAGTAGCTTGATTTGCTGTGTCTGTGTGTTTCTGGAGATGCACACGACTTACTAGCACACACAAGGGTGACTGCATAGCACTCTGCTTGAGAAAGGAGACATCCTAAAACAGGAAGTCAGGCCCAGTGCTCAGGGGACCAGCTGATTTTGCAGGACACTAAAACGGTTAAACATCAAGAAGCAGCATCCATTGTAAGTGATTTCATCAGCATTTGAAATAGTTTAAAACCCTTTTGACTTTAATATGACTAAGTATGTCCATGGCTATGATCTAGTCTTACTGTAGAAAAGTCAGCTATGCCTTTTTTTGTGTTTTACAGACACGGAATCGATTTGAAGGGGCACGGTCAGAGGTTGAAGAACTAATGAAGAAAATTAGAAAAAACCCTCAAGAGCACAAACGTGCAAGCCCATTTACAATGGAAGGGTATCTGTATGTCCAGGAGAAACGTAAGTTACCCATGGTAATGCATCAGTCATCACCTTTATATGAATGGACTCCCAGCTCAAATTCCATCCCGGGCTGCAATTAGTTCATACTCTTGAGTGCAGGCTGCAGTGTGTTTCTGACTTGTCAGCTCAATCTCCAACAGATCAGCCGCACAAAACCAGAGTAAACTCTGGTTTTGTGTGGCTGATCTGTTGGAGATTGATCACCCTATATGACATTACTAGTTACACTTGAAAGTAAACATTTTGTGTTTTATAAATGTGTCCATCTTAAATTGGTAAACCTGCACTTACCTTGTAAAGCAGGAACCTTCAGGTGCCTGATTGTTACCTCCTCTTTATATCCGTGTTCCCTTGGAGTCTTGAAACCTGGGGATGATGTTATAAATGCAGTGCCTTCATTAAGGAAGCTTATAGTTGCTCCCGCTCTCTCCCAAGATTCCCTTGATGATTTTCTTGCATCAGTGCAGATAGACATAGCTGTCATAGCAATCACATGATCGGCAACCATGTTAAAAATCTTGATTTTTATTAGACCCTTAAGGTGCCCACACATCTTGCGATAATCGTACGATAATCGCGGGAAATCCCGCTATCGTACGATTATCGTAAGGTGTGTGGAAGCCGTGCGTCCTCTACTACTGTAAGGGCGCACAACTTTTATCTTACGAACATGTTCGAAAACCCGCCGAGAATCGTACGATTTTCAGCGGGTGTGTAGCATGTTCGTAAGATAAAAACCGGACAGGTCGGTGTGCGCACACTGCCCGTTCGGCATTGCGGTCATCGGAAGCCCGCCCCTAAGCGGGGCAGGCTTGTGATCATCGCAAGTACGATCTGCCTGTCCAAGATAGGCAGATCGTACGTTTTTTTTAATGACCTTATCACAAGAATCTTCACGCAGACTTGTAGTGCTATGAAAGAGAAGGGGCATGTCTGACCAGTTCTGTTTGATCATCCTTCTCAGTACCTTCTGTAATCTAACACTGGGACCCTATTGGACTGTACCATTACATTGCAAGACTATGATAATGTAGATCAGGGGTGCCCACAAGGTCGATCGCGATCTACCAGTCGATCGCGTTACCCCTAATATTTCCCCGAAGCCACCCCAAGAGTAAAAAAAATTACGAAAATAAAAAAAAATTATGAAAAAATAGTAAAAAATAAATTAAAAAAACGTTGTTTTTTTTCTTACCTCAGGCGCAAAAGTTGCTGGCTACGGCTATGCTCCCGTGGTGCTCGTGCGGCTGCCGGCTGAATGTGTCAGACACTGCACATGGAAAGGTGCAGGACACCCGATGTGCAACGGACACTGCAGATGGAAAGGTGCAGGACACCCGATGTGCAACGTCGGCCACACGAGCACCACGGGAGGACAGGACGCCGGGACCTGTAGGGCGCACTGGAATGTAAGCCGGCCGACTCCCTGCATTCAGGTGCGGGAGAGGGTGTGGAGCTGTATTGAAGTCAATGGCATCGCCCACATTGCGATCGCCCGCACTCGGAACGCAGGCACATTAGTGCCTGCATTCCGGTCCAGTGCGATCTGCAAAACTAGTGCTCGCAAAATTTTTGCGGGTCGCACTGGACTGGAACACAGGCACTAATGCAGGCGATCGCACTGTGGGCGAGGGGCCTGCCTGCGGAGCCTGGCTGCGGTGCCATTGACTTCAATGCACCGCCACGCCCCCTCCCGCCCCTGAATGCAGGTGTTTTTTCATTGGTAGATCTCAATGAGCTCGTCATTTGAAAAGTAGATCTCCAGACGAAAAATAGTGGGCGCCCCTGATGTAGATGTTCATATATTCTTTAAATGGCTATTTATTTCTGTGATTTCATTTGGGCTTTAACTGTCACAATCCAGAATACATAATGGTAAATTTCTCTTCCCAATAAATTAAACATAGTTTGCTGTTGGGACAATGGATCGCAATCATCAAGCCAGGCAATTATGTAAATTTAACCGTTTTCTCTGTAATTGTCTGCATAATACTTATGTAAATAAAACATATTTTTATCACAGAAAATGCAAAACCTAGTTAAACTACCAGCCTATCTCCTTGCTTAATGGGGATATTAGATAGTTGCATAGTATTTGAGGTTGAATAAAGACACAGGTCCATCAAGTGCAACCTTATGTGTAAGTGTGTGTGTGTAGTGCGAGCGTATGTGTATGCGAGTCCCTGTGTGGTCCTAGGTTTTAAGAGTACCTTTACCGCTGTATGTCTCTGAGGAAGGTATCTAATTGATTTTTGAATGATTTAATACTCTCTGTTGATACTACTGCTTGTGGCAGAGAGTTCCAAAATGTAACCGCTCTGACTGAAAAGAAGCCCCTACGCCCTTTGTGGTTAAATCTTTTCTCCACCAATTATAGGTGGTGGCCTCTAGTCCTTTTTACGAAGTTTACTGTAAAAAAGTTTACTGCTGATGTTGCCATTACCACCAAATATTTTGTACATTAAACCTATGTCCCCTCTTAATCTCACTTCAAGCATGAACAAGTCTAAATTTAGCAAACTTGTCTCAGCTTTGGTCCTTCATCCCCTTAGTTTAGTTGCCCTTCTGTGGACTCTCTCCAGCTCCAGGACATCCTTTCTCTGCATTGGTAACCAAAGCTGCACCGCATATTAAATTAATCACAAAAATTGTGGCTACTAGACTTAATACTTTTTCTAGGTTGTTTGAATAAACGTGACCAAGTTGGCATTGTCCCGAGGCGCCAAGCAGGAGAAAGTGTCGGTAGGATCTTACGATTGATCCACTTGGTTTGCTCTTGGAAATGTGCTTTCTTTCACTGGATACTTCCAAGGCGTTTGCCTCCCTCTCCTGGTAGTACCTATTGAGGGTGTTAAAACACTTTGGTTTTGGGTAGGAATGTATGGCCTGGATAGGGTCACTGTACTCTTTTCCCCAAGTGAAATTGAGATACTGTGGGCTTGATTCCTCCCTCTTCCCAGTTCGGAGGGGACCAGGCAAGGCTGCCTGCTCTCTCCCATTTTGTTCATTCTGGCACTGGATATAGTGTGGATATTCACTACCTCCCATCCATGGCCGTTCATGAACAGGCGGACGGGATAGCCTTATAGGAGCGGGAGGGCGTCTTAAGCGATGGCTGTTTACATTCAAGCGATCAGGCATCTCTAGAGACGCCCGATCGCTTGTACTAGCTGCGGGTGTCCCGAGATCCGCTATGCCCGGTGCGGCTGGGACGCTGTCAGTGGAGATCAAAGGGAGTTCAGTACATGATCTCCCTTTGATCTCCTTTCTCTGCTTCATCAGTTTTTCTGGGGGTCCCTAGGTGACATCAGGGGTCTTGGAGACCCCTGATATCTCCATAAAGAGGACCTGTTATTTGAATTGGCTATCACATAGGAAATTTCTTAGCCCCTATGTAATAGCAATAAAGTTAAGGTGTAAAAAAAAATGAAAGAATAAAATAAAGAAGCTTAAAAAAAATAGTGACAAATATATTTTTTAAATAACACAAAATTTGTTTTTAAGTCCCCCCGGCCCCCCCCCCCCACATACACACGCAAACATGCGTTGGGTGCGCCTATGTACGAAAACGACGCTTGCGCCCATTACGCCACATATGTTAAATATCGCCGCGAACGTCGGAGGGAGAGCATTCATTTTAGGGACATTAATTATGGATAACACTAAACTGATGAGCGGTAAAAGCGTTTAAAGCGTCGCCTATGGTCAATTTTGGGTGTGGTCGTTTTCTGCAATTTCCCGGGCGCGCGCCATTTTACAGCTTGACATGTTTGGCGTCTATTTACCCGACATGACCCTGTCTTTTATATTTTACCAAAAAATGGGGGTGATAATAAATGTTTCATAGGAAAACAGTTTTCCCCCCAAAATTGAGGGTACTTTTTTTTGTTGTATAGTAAAAAATAAAAACCCCAGTGGTGATTTAAATACCACCAAAAGAACGCTCTATCTGTTCCCAAAAAATGGTATAAAATTTGTTTCAGTGCAGCGCTGCATGACGGAATAAACGTCAGTCAAAGTACTGCAACGCTGAATACTGAAAAATGGCCTGGCCAGGAAGGGGGTGTAAACACCTGGTCTTCAAGTGGTTAAGGGAGTAGAGGTAGCTGTTGTGCACCACAAACTCTCATTGTTCGCGGACGATTTTATGCTCACGATTACTTTGCCACAAATTACCATCCCTGATCTACTTAACTTGTTGGATGATTTTGCTAGCTTCTCGGGACTGAGGGTGAATCGATCTAAGACTTTTGCCATGTCAGTTTCTCTTTCCTCCCACACGGAAACTGTGCTGCATTCCTCTTTTCCGTTTCAATGGGTGTCTGCTCTGCCTTACTTTGACCCCTTTTACTTTGACCCCTTTTAACTCCTTAATGACCAGTGACGTCCATAGTAAGTCACTGGCATCGAGACTGCCGAGACTCTGTTTCAACTTGTAAAGCCAACTGCCGGCTTTACAGTAGAAGCGATTCTGGAGGCCCACCTGCCGCCAGATCACTTCTACGGGCTGGTAAACACCCCCCCGCCCGACACCCCCACCATGTTTCCCGGGCTCTGCTGCCCCTCCTATGGGCCCGGTACCGGCTTCTCTGGTGTCGGGGGGAAGCTTGGGAGGAGATCGGCGAACCTCAGTTCACCAATCTCCTCTCCATACTATGGGATCAGGAGAGATGCAGATTACATCACTTCCGGTCCCATAGCTGTCAGTGCTCAGCTCCTGAAGCCCAGCTATAATCTATTGAAGTGCGATCTGCACTTCAACAGCTTATTTGGAGTATAGAAGGTGGCACTGGGGGTCTTTTGGACCCCCAGCATTACCTTAAAGAGTACCTGTCACCACCATCTGCTAACACATGGGGGGTTTGTAAGCCCCCCCTATGAGATAGCAATTAAAGTAAAAAAAAAAAAAGTTTTTAATATTAAAATGTAAAAATAATAAAAAAAAAAATTGTAAAGTGCCCCGCTCCCTGCGAGCACTTGCGTCTTCACATAAACATGCATCGGGTGCGACTACATATAAAAACGACGATCGCGCTACACATGTTGGGTGTCATGCCAGAGTGAGAGCAATAATTATAGGGCCAATATTTTACGCATATCTCTAAACTGATGGGGTTTTTTAAAGTGTCATCTATGGATTTTTTGGGGAACTGAATTTTGTCACAGTTTCACGGACGCACACAATTTGTAACCTGGGTACAAATTTACTTGTAACCTCATCTTTTATATTTAAAAAAAATTGGTATTTTATTGTGTTTTGGGGCATTTAAGTGCATTTATAATTACATTTTGGGGTTTGATAAGGAGTTGGCGCTAATATCGTGCAACATAAACATTTGCAACTGCCATCGTTTTATTCTATAGGGTCTTGGCTCTGAGAAAATGCATAATGTTTGGGGGTTTAAGTAATTTTCAGGCCTAAAATGTGGATTATAACATATATACAAAAATGTGTCTCTACCAGGCTAATTTCCCTCCCTTATTTCACCACTTAAACACACTTCTGAATACTTGGCGGTCTTACCTGATTTCTTGGTTTGGCTACATAGCAGCAATCAAGATGACTTACCTTCCCAAAACTTTGTATGGCTTTAGGGTGTTGCCTGTGGCTATACCTTCCCATAAGTTTATGGATACACTTCATTTGGGGTCAATTGCTACACTTCATTTGGGGTCACTCTTGCCCTAGGGCATCTAAACGTATTATTTTTTTCTTCCAAAGCAGCGGCGGGACTTTCTGTTCCTGTCCTCCGTAACTACTGTATTACTTGGCAGACAATATTGCCCCATTACCTTGCCATTGTGGGCAATGGGACCTTGTCGATTGCCACCCCATCCCCTCTTTTGCACTTTCTTGGTTGGCCCTCTCCCATTGTCCTATGCACCTAAACCCTATCTTAAGGCACATTCTTCATCTTTAGGATTCAATTAGGTTTTCGGATTGACCGTCTCCTTTTCTCCCTTTTCTCCTTCAAATTTTTCACTCCCCTCTGTTTCCCCCGGGTAGAGATAATCCATCTCGGTTTCACTGGTGGACTTTGCATGACATGGATACAGTCTGTTCTCTTCTTTCGCCTTCGTGGATCAAAATGTTTCAGCAGTTGCGAGAATCTTATGCCCTACTACTACGGGAACATTATCAATATTTCCAGATTAGGTACTTCGTTTTGTCCCTTCTCCATGGGCAGTTGCCGCCTTATGTCTCCTTTTGAACAACGATGCAGACTGAATCCCTATGCGCCAGGATTGATTTCCTTTATCTACTCTTCTCTTCAGTTCTCTGTGACTGTACAATTGTATCAAACTCATTGGGCTGCTGAGCTCAACTCTTCTATGTCTCCCGAGGACTGGCAAGAGATTTGGCAGGCTACCTCTAAGTGTTCGCACAATGTTTTTATATTGGACAACTCCTATAGGGTACTGTACAGATGGTATTACACCCCGAAGAGCTAGGCCGGCTTCGTGCCTGGTTATCACTCCACTTGTTATCGTGGCTGTGACTCTCCAGGTACGATGCCACATATTTGGTGGCTCTGTCCGGAAGCCCATACGCTCTAGATACGGGTTGATAATCTTTATACAGTTGCTCCTTCCTACCTCCTTACCCAGAAACCCTTGTGAAGCGTTGTTCAACAAACCAGTAGACTCTTTGTTGCCTAAGGAGCGTAAGCTTGTCCAACATATCTTTATGGCCACCAAATTAACAATAGCTAGAGCCTGTTAATTGCCTACTTTGAGTTACATTGCTGTTAAGAATAGATTGACAGATATCATGATTAATGAGAAATTGACTGCGATCTTGTTGGATACCCACTCCAAACTTTTGTCGGTTTTGCAACCTTGGATCTCCTACTCACAGCCTCCTAATTTTGATACATTATTACTGTCCCTTTAGCCAATTTTGATTTATTTCCCCTAGGATGCCTCTTTTCTTCTCCTCTTTCCCTCTTACTTTCCTTTCTTCTTTTTCTAACGCTTCCTTGTCCTTTTTTTTTCTTATTTCTGGCCTTTGGATTCATATCAATCTTGATAAACTATTTAGCATCCTTTGGTATGGTATTTGTGATGATTCTCTATGGTTTTTTTGAATATTTTTACTCTATAATAGTCCACCATGTTTTCCAGTACTGTAGGCTTTCAAATTGATTTTGAGATACATGTTCCTACGCTGCTTTAACAACAACGTTTGTAACAGAAAATGTGAAACACAGTTAATATGTGTATCTGGGTATTCAATCATATCTATTTTGTTTGTTTTCAATATAGGACCAGCCCCATTTGGTTCCAGTTGGGTTAAACACTACTGTATGTTTAAGAAGGATTCCAACACATTCACAATGTTCCCATATGAACATAGATCAGGAGGCAAAATAGTAAGTGCAGTTAAATTATTTTCTTTTCTTTGGAAACATTATTTATTTTCTATATGTGTTCTTTCTGCATTTTGACAAGCCTTAACGTGACACTAAACTCAGGAGTTAAATCTTAAAAATGCATTCAAATATCTTAACTTTTGACAATACTGGGCATTATTTGTGCCTTACTCAGCTGTAGATCCTCAACATAGGGTGGCTATGTTTATCCCCCATGGTCCCTGTGCGTGTTGTAAAGTAGCCACCTCTCCAAGCTCAGTCGCGTGATAATTATAATTTCAATACAAATTAGTATTGTATTCTATCTCGGGAGTGAGCATGGAGTGGTGGCTACTTTACAACACACACAGGGACCATGGGGAATAAAAGAAGCCACCCTCCAGAAAGGACAGTGCCCACATAAGAGTTGATTTGAAGGTCTACAGTTGAGTGATGCACAAATAGGGTACAGTTGTCTTAATAGTTAAGGTACTTGAATGCATTTTTTATATTTAACTATCTTACTATACCTGTAGTCTGCCAGTATAGCATTACCCACGTTCTGTATGGATGCATACAATTTTAACCCCTTCCTGACCGATGATGGGATTATCCCACTACGATCATTCAGTTTGTTAAAGATTGGTGATGGGATAATCCCGTCATGTGGTACAATGAGCGCTGGTCCATTAAGGGGCCAGCGCTCATTGAGTCACTGCTGTTGATGGGTCCCTCGGGGACCGAGGCAGACCCTCAACAGCAGATTAGATGGTCACAGTCCTGTGATCACAGCGAGAGCTGATCGCTGTGATCGTAGAGCCATGACAGCCACACAGCCAGCAGCAGCTCACTGTGTTGTTAATCTGCTGGCTGTGTATTACAAAAGGGATGCAAAGTATCTCTGAGGAGAATACTGTATTCTCCTCAGAGATACTAAGTATAAAAGCTCCTGTAAATAGAAAAATAATCACTTAGTGCCCCCATAGTGAAAAATTTAAAAAATAATGTTTTTAACATTTTAACAAATTGTAAAAAAAAGTTAAAAAAAAAAAAATGTTTAATAAAAATTATAAATGCCGAGGAGGCTAATAAAGATAGGAGACAAACATACCACATTCTAAAATTGTTCCACACTAAAATTGTATTTCACTCATTGTATTTTGTGACCTATAACTGCCAAAATAAACTGAAATCCCAGACATATGCTATACCCTATAAATTGGGACAAATAAAATAATTTATTATGAATTACTTTTTGTTAGCTGCACTAATTTATGTACACGTTTTGTGGTTTGTCTTTTTTTCCCCGTTTTTGGAGTATTTGTTATAAAAAAATAAAAAAGAATTGTAGATGCATATGTCACATCACATTAAAGTCCATTTTGTCCTTTAAAAACGGTATATAATATGTGTAAGTGCATTGCATGAAGAAGATGGAAATTATGTTTAAACACATGGCAAAATTGCTCGGGTCCCCAGAAAAAAAAGTCTGAAGCTGTCACTAAGGGGTTAATGGTAACACCTCTGTCATGATAATACATCTGAACTTTAGGAAAACCGCTAAATACATAAATGAAATACACATAAAGGAGCTCTTTTACTTGACAAAAAGATTTTTATTTCTGCCCATTCAGTCCTGAGATTTACACAGCGTTTCCACACTGCACAGTCCTGTCTGGCAGGGCAGGAGACCTGATTTTAATTTGCTGCTCCCAAGTAACTCTTCGACCAACAGATCTCTGATGATCATCTTTAAATTTCACGTTTTGGAAAGATAAAATGCTGCCAAATGTAATATTCGATGATAGCTTGTTATAAGCTAAAATGCACCTATTTTGTACATTAGGTTATAAGTGTTTTCAAAAGACATACCACTAGAGCAGGAATATGATTTTTTTTTCCTAGGGGGATGGAGAAAGTTTTATACTGAAGTTCTGCACAAAACGGAATACAGACACTATAGATAGGAGGTTCTGCTTTGACGTGGAAGCTACAGAGAGGTGAGAGAAATCATTGATACATCAATAATCAGAATTTTTTTTAAATTTTAAATGAAGCAATAAAGGATGAATTTGTAGATTGGCTTTCCTTATCATAAGAACTGTATATAGAAGAACTTACTGGTGTGTCAGAAGAGAGGCTCTAGAACCTGAAGAAAGTACAGTAGTGTACCTGTTAAAGTAGAACTCTCATTTTATTTTGTTTAATGTTTAGTCCACCCACCCCATACTCCAGCACTGTTCCTGAAGCTGGAGTTCCGCTTCAATGCTCATGTCCTTATGAAACACCTCCTTTCCCTATGCTGATGAAAACCATTCATCAGTGTTCCACCTATTTAGGAGTCCTGCCTGAGAATTGCAAATTGAAGGCAGAACTCTGTGAGGAACAAAGGTAAACCACATCATGCATGTATTCTGCTGCCAGCTTGTGGAGAGAGATGCCAATCACTGCTTTTGCTACAATGTTTAAACAGACAATCCTCTGTACAGTGAGGAAGCAAGTGAATCAGCATTTCTTTCTATATACAGTAAGGGGAATTTATCAAAACTGGAGCAGACAAAATCTGGAGCCATTGCTCATGGAAACCAATCCGTATATCTCAGTTTGCTCAGGTAAGATTTGAAAATGAGACAGAGAAGCTGATTGGTTGCAGTGCAAATCTGCTCCAAATTTTGTCTGCTCCAGTGTTGATAAATTCCCCTCGGTATGTTTTTGTCTTACAGTGCACCTATACTCAAGAACAGTAATGTTATATTCTGCAGCTTCGATGTGGTAGCAACTGCATTAGTTTTCTATGTTCTGAGTTTTCCCCCCTTTGTTTTCACCTGGGCATCCTGCTAGTAAACTTTGTGTCCTAGGGTGACAATGCTCGCTGACTGTGTGCTGTATCTAGAAGAAACGCGCCCCCCCAGACTGCACGCCCCTGATTGGGACTGTAGTGCCACCTCCCTTCTCTCTTTATATCTATAACATGGAGAATTATGTTCTGTAGTTCAGAGGTGAACTTGGTAGGGGAGCAAAAATGAGAAATTCCTTAATATGGTTTACGTACACTCTAAAACTTGCTTTTGCTTCTTTTATTAGGCCGGGACTTCTCACAACTATGCAGGCATTTTCCGAAGAACACAGACAACACTGGGTTGAAATACTGGGGGGAAAAGAGTCTGTAAGTAGCTAAAAGCATGTATTAATTGTAAGAATATGCCGTGTTTTATATTTTTCTTACGCTAAAACTCCATAATAGGATGCCTAGTTTCCACGTTTGCTCAGCTGGTCAACTTACATTGTCTTTCCACCCTTGTGTGGTGTACCCATCTCCCAACATCTCCATTCCTGTAATCCTGATAAGAGATATGGAATAACTCGGAGACAAACCTTGACACAAATTTCCCCACTAACCCTTATTGGCTGCTTCAGTGGAACACAGAGTTAATTATCTGGAAACATGTAATAGTAAATGTCAGCCTATCTAGTTTATACTGTAGCTCCAAGTATAGGTTAAATGATGGTAAAATGCATCTGATTTTGTTGAATTTTGTATAAAAACAATAGCCATGTTGCTGATTTGCCAAAAATGTGTAAAAGCAAAGGGCATACAGCTTGCAGTCTGCCAGCAATCAGTTGTGGTATGATAAATTGAAACCATTAACTTCAGAAGGTCAAGGCTATTCAGACGAGCCTGCCAGCAGTGCCCGTGATTAGAGCGTTAGCACTGCATAGAGGAGGCTAACTCGTACAGCACGGGATGCTGTTACTTCCACTTGCCATATGTACTTCCAGCTTGTTAAGTTGATATTGCAATCCTGTATATTCAAAAATACTGTAGTTTAAAAAGGACAGCATGTTACTGTATTTTAATACATCTCTATAACGCATAATTATTTTGCGCAAATAAAAATAGAATGCATTTTCTGAAATACAGCATGAAAGATTGTGAATTTCCTATAAGTCTTTTACACAAAATGATATGTATATTATTTAGTACATATAAAATAGTATTACTGATCCAAGTCAGGCCTGACCTACGTGTTGCACTCTGCCAGTTAAACAGCCTTTTTACTGCCTACTTCTAAACACACTTTTAGATGACACTATCATTGGTTTTACAAGATGCATGTTTGTTATACATTTATCTGTTTGTCTTTACCAGGATTGTGTGTTTAGAACACTAAATGGGCAATAAACAACGTGTTCTAATAATGTAACATCGATGATATTGCTCAGCAGAATAACATTAGAAGCATGGTCATTTTCAGGGCTGTATGACTAAGGTAGTGGTCCTCAAAAACAAAGGGCCAATTCACAGTCTGTTGGGAGGCGGAACAGTAGCCAGTAGATTAAAAAAAGTCCTGGCTTCAGAGGTTAGTGGGAGTCAAAAATGCCCCTTTGTCGGTTGTCAGTGGCAGCTAAAAATTCCCCTGTCCACATGCATCCACAGTAAAAAATGCCCTTGCATGTGGGGCCTTGTCATTGTAGTGGCTGGTTTACTGCAACAATTTCAGGTAAATACAGCTTTTATTTGAGATGCTCCTGAGCCCATTGTTTTTTCAAATGTACACTTAAGGTGCCCATAAACTGTACGATTATCATAAGAGAATCGCGGGAAATCCTGCAATCGTACGATAATCGCAAAGTGTATGGAAGGCGTGCAACCGTTTCTACTGTACGGTCGCACGTCTTCCGTCGAACAAGCAGGCTTGAAAAGTTAGTGGCCTGCTTGTTCGACAACTGCCGAACGGGCCGGTGTGCGCACACTGCCCGTTTGCAGTCATCGGAAGCCCGCCCCTCATTGCAGTCATCGCAAGCCCGCCCCACAGGGGGTTGGGCTTGCGATGATCGCAAGTACGATCTGCCTGTCCAAGATGGGCAGATCATACAAGCTTTTAATTAGCTTACAACCATTGCAAGACAAAAGTCTTGCGAAGGCTGTAAGGTGTATGGGCACCTTTTAGAGTTGACTTCTTTCTGAAGCTGCATCAAACTACTTCAGCCTTCTTTTGCATTCCCATTGACTTGTATTGAATGGAAAGCTGCTTTGACACAAGCAAAAGCCTGTGTACACAGGCCTTGTTCATTAATGACCATGGGCTTAACTACAATTCACTGGGTCCAAGAGAAAAACTGAGGGGGCTCCCTTCACCACCCCTGCAGCCTCCTTGTGTACTGTGGCAGGCAGTACACAAACAGTTCAGTGGCCAGCTGTAATAACACAACTCTAATAATAGCCTCCTTTACTATTGGTGGTTCCTATATACCCCTCTAATGACAACTTCTATTCACAGAAGGTAGACAGCTGCTTTATATGTCTCCAAAGCTTTATATGTCTCCAAAACAATAGCACTCTGGCAAATTGGTGTCCTTAAAGTGACATTAAACCCTCAGATTTTTTAACATAAACCAATCCTGAAATGTGCGCCTTACTGTAATCCATGGTTGTTTCCCTTCTCTTTGCTGCTCTTCCTTTTAAATCCTCATGTCTTCTCATGCTTGGGGAGAACTTCCCTTTGCAGCTCAGGGCCTCTTCCTGTAGTGCTGGCTCAGGTTACAAGCCTATACAAACGGATACACAGACACCGTGTATCCATTCCTGAGACAAGGCAGTCTGCTGCAAAACAGAAGTTCTGCAGAGCATGAGAACAGATACATATTAAAAATGAAGAGCAGCAAAGAGAAGGGAAACAACCATGGATTACAGTAAGGCACACAGTACAGTATTGTTTTATGTTAAAAATCTGAGGGTTTAATGTCACTTTAAGACCACTAAAAATAAAAAAAATCCCCTATAAATAGATTTTAATAATTATGCATGCAGCGTGCTAGTGAGTAGCTAAAGTGGAGTAGCTAAAGTGGAATACTGAACAAAGTATTCCACTTTAACACTTTATGTACCACATCTGCATCTATTTGCATGCTGTGGTTTTAGACAGGTTTGATTATTGCTCCTGTTGGTAGTTTCCCTTTAAAGCAATTTAGTGTTCCAGTTCTGCTGCTGGTGCTCAGGTGTTTAAATGTTTGTAGAGAACCCTAGGTGTGAAATCCAACAGCGAAGCGTTGTTGATAGACATGCTAGTCAAGGTGATTTATCAGACAGTTGTTATCAGAGATTATAGGCTGTAAAATAATCAATAATCAGCAGTGTAACATGAAGGATGCATAATCCACTGGGACCTGTGTGCTGACACTGTAATTATGGAGCACAGTCCCTCTTCGATGCCTATCAGTCAAGTGTGGCAGATTCAAACAAAATATGCCTTCCAGCTTCCCTGACTCATTTCAAAACTACATCCAAAATTGTGCTTTGGTTTGCCCCTTAAGTAACAATGTGACATAGTGACAAATGTAAGCACCCATTGAAAATGTAAGTTTCTGCTACTTTACATCTCAGAGGTTAGCTTGGTCCAGCACTATGTAAAATGAGTCCATAATGTGGAGGGATGCAGATTTCTGCCACAGTAGAAATGTAATATAGATCTGTTTCATTTATGTGTTAATCTTGAAAAAAAGCTTTTGTCTCGGACCACTTTGCTCTTTGTTTTGCATCAATAATCATGTTTCTAGAAATAACTGAATAGCATTACTGTGTTTTAATATTAAAAAGAGATTTATTGTTTGAGTATGCACAATACCGATAGTTGATAGACTGATAGAAAGAGATGCCCTGATTGACATGCCCTGATTATTTAGCTATTGGTTTACGTAGTGTTTCCCTAAAGAGCAGTTAAGCACTTTATTTGGTGGAAGTACTCATTGTTTCAGCAATCTGACAAATCTCTATGTAAACAAGAACCAACCATTCCTTTCTCTTTGGAAAATAAGTAATTCAAGTGTATGTCAGCGAAAATTTAAAAAAATTAACTTTTTCAGTACATCTCTACAATGCATGCACATTTTCCTATGCTTTATTCTTCAAATACACCGCAAGTACAGAAAAGTACCTGTTGATATGCCAGAAGTGAGCTTCTATCTTAAAGTGACACTAAACTCAGTAGTTACATCTTAAAAATGCATTCAGGTACCCAAACTATTAACAAAAATGTATCTTATTTGTGTATCACTCGGCTGTAGATACTCAAATCATCTCTGAATTGGTGCTGACACTGTCCTTCCTTCTGGAGGGTGACTACTTTTGTTCCACATGGTCCCTGTGTGTGTTGTAAAGTAGCCACCGCTCCAAACTCGCTCTCGTGATGGACTACAATCTCACGTTTTGTTTACGAATTTGTATTGAAGTTATAGTTATAGTCTAGAGTATTTGTAACACAGCCCTAGAGATGAAGTCAACAAAATGTGTGTAAATGTTCACAGATTGGGTTAAGTGATCAATGTATATCAATGTATAAATTATGTGTATTAGAAACAGTCATAAAAGGTAAACGAAAAAGATGGTTTGTATCAATGTGTGAACAACATGAGTGAGCAATTAACTGAAGATTAAGTGTAGCCTATAGCTAATAAATATTAATGACATTCAAACATAGGTGAATAATCGTGATGAACTTAGATGACAAAGAATAAAAATAGATAGTAAAATTAAATAATAATAAATGGATAAAGTCAGCTTCGATTAAGATTAAGTAATAATAAATAAAATTAGATGATAGTAGATGGATGAAATCAACTTCGATTAGTGAGTATAATACGGCATTATAACTTCATTGAAATATATAACACAGTATCAGAAAAAACGTCTCAAAAGGATTACAGTGGATAATCTGTGACAGTTTTTAAAAAAAAGATCTGACAAAAATCTAATAACTCAGAAATTGGAAGAATAGCATTCAGTGATCTATATTGATCTTGAATTATTTCTTTAAATAAGTGAAGGCGATGCCAGAAACAGCAATGTTCAATGGACGATATGAAAAGTAGATTTAAAAAAATAGGCAATATAAGAACAGGAGAAGGGGGGGGGGGGGCAGAAGACGGATGATTGTTGGTTCCTATCTCCTTAGTCCGACAGCCCCCTTAGTAATGGGTACTCACCGGGTTACGGTGGATATGCGCAAATATCAGGGTCTTGACGATATGGTATCCAATCCCGTCCTGCCTTCAAGTATATTCTTCCCGCGTTAGAATCGGGCAGTAGGAGAGATGTTTTCCGGCTGTAGTGCTGGAGCTGTCTTTCAGACCCAGGGACCGCTTAGCCTAAGCGTAGTACTAACGAACTTTCTCTCCGGAATCAACAGGGTTATGAGGGTTTAAAAGCAAAAAGACCTCATGGTGCAGTATGTAAAAACAGTATAAATTTTATTAAAACATAGTAGCTTACATCTGGAAGTATAAAAACCGTCCGGCACAGCAGCTCTGGATCGATCTAAGAGGACTCCTCGTGTGCAGTTGAATCTACCTTTTTGACGCATTTCGTCATGTGACTTTTTTTCTTTGTCATCTAAGTTCATCACGATTATTCACCTATGTTTGAATGTCATTAATATTTATTAGCTAAAGGCTACACTTATTCTTCAGTTAATTGCTCACTCATGTTGTTCACACATTGATACAAACCATCTTTTTCGTTTACCTTTTATGACTGTTTCTAATACACATAATTTATACATTGATATACATTGATCACTTAACCCAATCTGTGAACATTTACACACATTTTGTTGACTTCATCTCTAGCGCTGTGTTACAAATACTCTATCCATTTAAAGGCGGTTCACCTCCTTTATTTCATAGCTGCTTTTGATACAAGTACAATTTAGACATATCCAGGAGCGCAGATTTATTTTTCCTATAGTTATAGTCTATCACAGGAGCGAGCTTGGAGCGTTGGCTACTTTACAACACACACAGGGACCATGGGGAACACAAGAAGCCACCCTCCAGAAAGAAATAGTGTCAGCACAAAAGTCTCCTTTGTGTTGGAGGGATAATGAGAATCAGAGTTAATCGGTTCCCCATGTGAAAAGTGACAAAGTCTCTTTAAATGGTTTGATTATGTGGATTATTAATAATCTTGTATTTGATAATCATTATTGTTGCTACAGTGTGGAAATTAATTATTTGATCCCCTGCAGATTTTGTAAGTTTGCCCACTTACAAAGCAATGGTCTATAATTTTTATCATAGGTGTATTTTAAATGATAGAGACTGAATATCAACCAAAAATCCAGAAAAAACACATGATACAAATGTTCTAAATTGAGTTGCAGTTCAGTGAGTAAAATAATTATTTGATCCCCAAGCAAAACAGGACTTAGTACTTGGTGGAGAATCCCTTGGTGGCAAGCACAGAGGTAAGACGTTTCTTGTAGTTGGTTACCAGGTTTGCACACATCTCGGGAGGGATTTTGGTCCACTCTTCTTTACAGATCTTCTCTAAATCCTTCCAGAGCAGAAAAACATCCCCAAAGCATAATGTTTCCACCTCTGTGCTTGACTGTAGGGATGGTGTTGGGGTCATAGTCTGCGTTTTTCTTCCTCCAAACACGGCAAGTCGAGTTAATGCCAAAGATCTCAATTTTGGTCTCATCTGACCACAGCACTTTCTCCCAATCCTTCTCATATTAATTTAGATGTTCATTGGCAAACTTCAGACGGGCCTGTACTTGTGCCTTCTTGAGTAGAGGGACCTTCCGGGCGCTGGAGGATCTCAATCCATGGCGGTGTATTGTGTTACCAGTGGTTTGTTTGGTGACTGTGGTCCCAACTGCCTTGAGATCATTCACAAGCTCCTCCTGTGTAGTTCTTCCTTATCCCATGAGGCAAAATCTTGCAAGGAGCTCCAGACCGAGGGCGATTGATGGTAATTTTGTATTCCTTCCATTTGCGAATAATCGATCCAACAATTGTTTCCTTCTCCACAAGCTTCTTGCTGATAGTCTTGTAGCTCATTCCAGCCTTGTGCAGGTTTACAATCTTGTCCCTAACGTCCTTTGACAACTCTGGTCTTGCCCATGGTGGTGAGGTTTGAATGGAAGAAATTGATTCTGTGGACATGTCTTTTATGTACATAACGAGCTGTCGTTAGGAGCACCTTTTTAAATTGACAGGACTAATTTGTGTACCACATAGCCAGTCTGTAGGAGCCAGAATTATTGTTGGTTGGTAGGGAATCAAATACTTATTTTACTCACTGAACTGCAACTCAATGTATAACATTTGTATCATGTGTTTTTCTGAATTTTTTGTTGATATTCTGTGTCTATCATTTAAAATACACCTATGATAAAAAATGATAGACCTTTCATTTTATTGTAAGTGGGCAAACTTACAAAATCTGCAGGGGATCAAATAATTATTTTCCTCACTGTATTTAAACTTGACAAAGGAAGCTTTGTAAAATGATGCAATGCTTTTAAACAAATTTATGTTCTCATTCTAGCGGTTTCTCAGCCTCAGCAAAGCTACAACAAGATCAGAGGGGGGCAAGTATATTTTATGCTTATTATTACATGGAATTCTCCTTCCTAATGTTTTTCTTTATGGTTCTGTTTCAAATGCATGAGTATTTTAGCAGCATTAATGACAGTCATTTTTATTGACTAACATACTCAGAATAAAAAATACCCTAATCACAGCTATCCATATGTGAGATTACATTTCTGGCACAGAAATAACAATTTTCGTGCATCTGTAGTGCAGTCTGGCCTTGATTGGAATGGAAGTGTGTATCTATAGTTCAGTCTGGCCTTGATTGGAATGGAAATGATGATGTCAGTCCAGTTTGTCACACTAAAATTGGACTGGTTGGAAAACTATGCTTAGTGCTGACAGAAGTGTTGAATAACACATAAGACTATAACATTTATGAAATATGTGCAATACACCCCAGAAAAAAGATATAAGGCTACGATACATACAGGTGAAACTCGAATAATTAGAATATCGTGCAAAAGTAATTGCAGTAAGTGCTGCAAAAGGGGTCCAAACCAAGTACTGAGTACATATGCATGCTTGTACTTTTCAGAGGTCCGATATTGTTCTATGTACAATCCTTGTTTTATTGATTGCATGTAATAATCTACTTTTTTGAGGTTGTGGATTTGGGGTTCTTGGGGTTTTCATGAGCTGTAAGCCATAATCATCACAATTATGACAAATCACGGCTTGAACTATCTTGCTTTGCATGTAATGAGTCTATCTCATATATTAGTTTCACCTTTTTAAGTTGCATTAGTGAAATAAATGAACTTTGCACGATATTCTAATTATTCGAGTTTCACCTGTATACATATAAGAAAGATAATGATAGAGAGTCTATCACAAGAGGTAATCTTTGGACACTACATGTTGAGGTTAATTTCCCACCTTAAGCCAGATAGTATGTGGGTATTTAATTAAAAAATCCAAATAGCCTCTCTGCAAAAAAAGGTGTTAACCATCACCTTCCCGCCAGGGTGGATGAACCTTCTCAATGCCATGGAAAGGATACAATCTCATTTTACCTCCATGTACATTGAGGTTTCTAACCACTTCTTCAGTCAGTAGGAAGAACTCTGACCAGCACAGTAATGTTTAGATATAGAGATCCTTACTGGCCCGATGGTACAGCCAACATACTGTACTTCGCATTTGGTGTGTGTAATTACATAACCCACATAACCTGCATTGCAATTCAGAAACTGGTTTATAGGGAACTCCTCATTAGTCATAAAATCTACCACCTTGGTCTTCTGACTTCACAGTTTATGAACCCTGTAAACTAAGCTATGTAGCCAAAAATTATTTCCCACTCTCAAAGTAACTGGGAGATAACAAAGACCTCACAACTGGAGCTCTCTTACTGGAGAACCAGCATCCACCCTCTAATACAGTATGTAGTTGTCGCTTTGCATGCAATATGGGCAAATTTTGTTTCGCTATCTGGGTGTATCACTGCGAAAGCATGGTGACAAAAGTCAAAGCACTGACTTCCTCTGAGAGATCATAATCCTAGTGGAATCTCTTAATTTCTTCCTTCTAGTCTTTTGTTTTGTGGACAAACTCTATCACTTGTCCACCTAGGATATTTCCTCTCAATGAGACCTTTTCTGACGATCCTTATCTCCTGTGCTGCATAGGTAATCAACTACTTCTGGTTATAGACTAACGTAAAGAAAACCTACCATTGAATCCAACAGAAGATATAATGAAAGCCTGTCAATAAATAATAAGAAACCACTAACAGCTACCACTGTAGCAATATACCTAACTTCTGTCATGTGAGCATTTATAGGTAATGCACCCCAACAGGTCATATATGTCCAGCTACAGCTAGTAATTTCAGATACAGATGCATCCATAAGCCATCACCATTAAAATATGCCATCCCAGGGAATGTGATTTCACTGCGGTTTGGTCATGGTTTCCCAGCTACTCATCTTTATTTTGTAACAACATGGAAGTATTTTTATGTGTATGACTTCTCATGTATACAATTATCTGTACAGTTGGTGGAGAGAATAACCGAAAGACACCATGGAAAAAAAGTTTTTAACTTGAAGTACATTAGAGTCATATTAGAAATGTGAAAAGGAGTTAATTTTTAGCTTTTATGTGAGTTTTTAGAGCAACATGGGACATCTAAGTAAGCTTCATTAGATAGATAGCAGTCATTAGGTTCAAGGATTGCTTTGCATAGTAATAAAATGAACAAAGGATATGAGCCCAATATGCAGGGCTAGATACACCGTCTTCTCCAACATGAAGGTTCCACATTTCAGAATAATGATGTCACCGTACACATTGCTAATCAAATTCAACATTGACTTCATGAACACCAGAAAATAGTCAAATTCCTTGCATGTTTTTCTCAGACACCTCAGATATCTAAACATTGCTGAGCCTTTCTGGAGTTTTGGGAGTTCAGAGTATGAAGTTAATTTTTTACCTTTTTGATCCCTTAAAAATTGAAGACTTCTGTCCATGAAGAATGAAGCAAAATCCAACCACGGACAGTTCAGGACTTAAGCTTAGGACTTAAGATCAAAGACTTTAAGTTCTCTGAAAGCAAATGAACAGCCTTTATATTAATATATTGTTATGGCCCCTTATGAGTGTACATTTTTGTTACAGATTAAAGAGCCAACAGTAGGGAAGCCACACTGGCATAGGTTACATATTTTAGTTACATGAACACATTTGGGAAGAGAGTGGGGAAGTCATTTTTTTTTAACTTTGCAAATGTATACTTCCACATATCCTTTTAGTGCCAGTACATGAGCTTTTTTTTGGCAGATTCTGCTCTTCTTGGCCCATAGACTTCAATGGAAACGCTCAAATTTACATTTGCTGTGTTTTTGTGTTTGTACACATTTTTACGCTCATTTGCCCAATCAGTGTCAGCCGGGTTGAGTGTTGTCATTCAGCGGGTACCTGTCAAATCGCTATTGAAAGGTCCCGGCCGAATGACAACAAATGGTCAGAGAATATATGAGAATAGGGGCGAACAGCAGAGAATGAACTGCCAAACATGTTGAATTGTCTGAGGCTAACGTAATCTTCACTTCTGTTCAGCCGAACGCGCTGGGGCTGTTCGGCTGAAGTGAAGGGAGCCAAATCCAGCTGATGTATGGGGTTCGGCTCCTTTCAGTTCGGGTGGGTTATTCACTCGGCTGCCTTGGGCAGCTTAGTGAATAACCCCCTTATTGTTTAGGTGTAAATCAAATGGTCTTAGAGGAAAGGCACATTTATATAATTTTATTATTGAGCATTAGGTAGATCATTCTTTTTATATTTGGATACACACACAAAGCACAGTGCAACTGTTTCAAAATTGGTTCACAGTGCTTTTCACTGATAGCACAACGGCTGATCATAAAGCACAGGTGAATTTTATTCAGTTTAGGAGTGCAGATGACATTAATTTTCATCATTATGCATGCAGTCCCTCATTTTATGAGTTTCTGCTTTGGGTTGAAAGGTTGGCAGCTTTTTTGCCAAACCTGAAGCCCACATTTTGTATTGGTGGTTTCTTAACTCACAATCAGAAATGCTTTGTATTGCTTCTGATGCACGTAGAAAAGAAAATGAGAAGGACTGTTTTTTGTGTCACTGCTGATTCTGTCATTTGTCTGTCTCTTTTAGGAGCTCAGCTTGACCAGCATGGATTTACTGTTGTGAAAAACTGTATCAATGCCATTGAATCACGGGGTAATTTATTTTATTAATCTACGTTTGTTCCTTACTTTCAACTTTTTGAATCACGGGGTAATTTATTTTATTGATCTACGTTTGTTCCTTACTTTCAACTTTTATTTGTAGTGAAATACGTATCACTAATGTGCAAGATTGCATTGGTGGTTGAATATGCTTGCATGATATGATCTACAACAGGGGTGGCAAACTCAGGCCCTCCAGCTGTGGTGAAACTACAAATCCCATGATGCATCTGCCTCTGCGAGTCGTGCCCGTGGCTGTGAGAATCTTGCAAAGCCTCAAGGGACTTGTAGTTCCACAACAGCTGGAGGGCCGGAGTTTGCCACCCCTGATCTACAAGATCCTTTGATAAATATACATCATCAGATTGACCAAGCAAGCCACTTGCCATTTCCAGTGAAAATTGGGCATGCATTTAGGCACACCTGGTTCCATAAACACAATTATGTAGCACTTAATTATAGGTGCATCTGCACTTACAGCTGTCTCTCAGTTCCCTTGCAGTCCCACAAAAGTCCCACAAATACCCATTGAGCCTGCCAGTGAAGTACACCTAATACAGTTTCCTATGATGGTGTGACAAGGATGCTGCACTGCTCCTAAATTCAGAGCAGTGTCTGGGAAGAAAAATGGTTGATGGGGGTATGGCTTTCAGTATTGTTAGGGCATTTCAAAACCCTGTAGCTTGTCAATCAGAACCTGGCCATACCTTGTTCTGCCTATTGCTTTCTGGATGGACAGTACTGCGACTGTTACTGAAACCCTTCCACTGCAACCTGCAGTGTCTGGTAGGAGGAGCATGTGAGACGCAAATGAAGGAGCATTTGGCTCAGTCATGGAGGGTAAATGAAGATTTTTCTTTATTTTATGAGGTTTATGCATCCCATAGAAACTGGATTTGGTACTTCTTTAGACTGTCATACAGGAGCCTTTAGTTTTACCTTAAGGGAGTAAGTGTGGTTACAGAGGTTTTAAGAAGTGGAAACCATTTTTACACACCACAGGTTTTTTTGAGTAACTGAATACCCATCCCTACCTGCAACTTAGTTTACTACAACTATGTTTCAATAAATTGCTTATATTCAAAGATACTGTTTAAGTTTGCCAGAAATTGCAGGCACTCTATTGCAGACAGTCAAGGACTGTGGATGTGTTGCGTACGGCAATCGGAGACTGTGTGGGCATGTTGCTAGAGGTGATCAAAAGGCGCAAACGTGCTGCATGAGAGCATCAAGTGCTGCAGGCATGCTTTTCATAATGGTCAATAAATGGCTATATGATGCAGGAAACCTTTAAAGGTATAGACATGCTGAAAAATACTTTCAGTGATTGACATGCTACAGTGTCTTTGAGCATGCTGCAGGAAACAGTCAAAGACGGTACACATGCTACAGGACAT